CAAGTAACCTTAACCTAACAACAATAAAACAAATTCCAATATTTGTCTTTGAATTTCAATTATACATAAAATTCTGGTTGTGGATAGAACGCAAATGGGCGATTGTGTGGCATGGTCCGCTAAAAAATTAAAGCTAGCTTGCGCTGTTGAATCTCTCAAAATCTCTTCCATATAATTTTCAGTTACCTTGGCTTAATATCATCTCCTTTCGATGCCACATCTTCATTGGTGTTTTGTTCTCTACATCCTTCATGGTCCGTACTCTTCTTTGTTACCTTCTCTTTTTCCATGTGAAGTGCCACTAAAAACAAACAAACAAACAAAAAAGAGCATGCACCGAGTTGCACCGAGTCATTTGCGTTTGTGGCCTGCTGAGAGCCGATAAAACTAGACTTGTAACAAAACAGTACTCTTACATCGGATTATTTTGGGATGAAATTAAAGAATGCATAAACATTTAGTTGAATAACAGCGTGGAAGTGTCGTTGCATTTTTCAAGCTGTCAATTATAAACCTGAATTTGCTCTTTCTTCAAAGTATCGGTAACCCCACATACATCGATCTGTTCGCGAAACTGAGAACTCCTTCGCCAGCGCATACATACAGCGTAGACGTACCTCTCTGATCTGTAGGGCGCACTACGGGAAATTTGAGGTCAGTACACAAGTCTTAAGTTAAAAAATTCCAACAAAGACACGTCAAAGTATTTCAAGTTTTTCTGGCGGACTAGCGGACTTCGAAAAATATAAACGCATGTAACCATAGTTAGTAGACTAGACGGGTGGCAGGACGCGCCGTTTCCCGCCAAAAGATGAAGAGGGACTGACAGAGTGGGGACTGAGCACCATAAAATCACAAGGCATCCCAACATTATAAAAACGTGCTAAACACAAGCTAAACACTGTATCGCCAGTAATATAACAACATATAGAGACAAATTTTTATACAGTGAGCGACAAAACATAGGATAAAGATCGATAAAAAGCCCATTTTAAAAAAAGTATTCATTACATCACATGGGTCTCATATGGGTGTATACTATCACTCCACTACCACCCAGTACGTCACTTTATTGCCAACGGACAATGACATCATGAGTACGTGGCCAAATCACGTGCTTTTAGAAAGTGAAACGAAAATGGCGTCCGGAGGAGTCGTTCAGTTATTTGTTGCTGTTATTCTGGCTTGTCTATTTGAGCAAGTTGAAGCGTTTGACGGCGGGGATGCAGCAGCCCTCATTATAGGCCTTATTATTGGTATTATGGGAATATGCGCTTGTTTAGGCGCGTATGCAAGACGGCAACAGGGAGTGTGAACAATGCTTGAAGGTGTAAGAAGGACAATTACCGAACTTGGATGTATAAATAGAGGAAATGAAGAGCTCAACAAATGCTTCAAGACTGTTATGTGGAAATTTTTACTTTATACGCATGGACCTTCTTGTTATTTGCTTTCCTTTTGATTTGGACAGATTCTTGGAACTTCATCTTGATTTTTTGTCTGTACTGTACTTGTAGAGCGGAACTATCGATATATCAAATAGGACAAGTCCCTTTGGATTCTACTTCTTTGACCCAGTAAATTTTGGTAGGACAGACAGACGGCAGATTTGTAGATGAAGGCTTGTGAATTGATTGCTGATTTCCAATGCTTTACTTGTAACGGGATTTGAACGGACAAACAACCGTACCGTACTCAGTACACCACCATCGCGTGATTGCTCATGTGCCAGGATCATTATTGCAAGCGTGCTGCCTATTATGAGACCGTGGGATAATAGCTTGGTTTAGGAACTTCTCCATACTTATTGCAATTGTAATCTTAAGTAATATTGTAAAGAAAAATAAGAGTTGATTTTTCATGGTATCAACTTGATACCATGGTAAAAATGGTAATTCAAGTCCCTAGCTGTGAATGTGCACCACTTTGTACCTGCAGTATGGTGGAAATTGTCCTGGAAGAGTTAAGTTCATTATTTGAACACCAATGAAATACCAGGTGAGGTTTTGCATGATAGCATAATATCCTCACACATGAAAAGATTGCCATCATTATTAGTTAAATATGCATTTGAGCGTTCAGAATGCAAAAACTAATTAAAGTGAAATGGTCTGGCATTTTATTGGTGTTTATGTAGTAAAATATAGAACATTACTTGGCCGCTGGAGATCCAACAATAATCTCTTCTTTTCTTGAACAACATATGGAGAGAAATTTGGTATCTCTACATGGCCATGTGAGATCCTCTATGTATTCACACAAAACAACTTGATAGCTTGAACTTTTTCAGTAGAGAGAGAAGTATTAATTTAGCTTAAGTTTTATTGAAGTGTTCAATTTAAACATGCAAACAAGTTAGGAGTTTTCTTTACTACTCTTTTGGTACTATTAAATGTTTAGATAAATGAATTCACAGCTTTATTACAAATGAAGACTGTTAATAATATTTAAATGCTAATATTTTGCATGCACTGTGACTTCCTGTGATATTCCTTTCCAGGAATATCACAGAAGTCACATGCAAGATTCAGGCACTCAATCATTCTCTTGTGTTTCTGCTTGTGTGGGAGATACATGCGGGGTAAGATGGAAGAGAAAAAAAAGTCTCTCTTTTTCTGTTTCTCTTTCCCATTGTTCCCTTTGCCAAGATGCCATGCTAGTCTCCTGTAACTGATCCTCAAGTGTTTTTCAAATGATAAGAAATCAGTTTCAAAATTGCTACTTTCCTTTCACATAAACATGTCAACAAATTTAGGACAGAATGTTTGGGATTGTAATCTCTTGCATAAATTACCTTTTTTCATGACTAGTATAATATTTTATTACCACTACTGTCTTTTTGTTACCCTTGATCAGTGGGCATGATCCATTCAACCAAAGTTTCCAGAAATTTTGGTCCAAAACTCAATGGATCGGTTGGGTCCAACCGCAAAAGTTTCGAAAAAACGGGTCCACCTTCTGAGGTGGACAAATTTTCCCGGTCGGACTGGTTGGAATTTTGGTTGAATGGATTGCACCCTGTATAACATTCTTTACCCCAGGGTACATGTTAGCCTCAAATAGTATTAAAGCAGAAAGCTAAAAAGCGTCATGAACCCTATCGCATTTATTTCAACAAATGCATTATTTTAGTAAGCATACTTGATATTGTGATGCATACGCCATGATTAATAGTTACCACCGTTTATCATCCAAGTTGAGAAGATCTATGAATGCAGAGTAAAAATATGATGTGTCTCAAACACCCCAGGAGGCTGAGGCAGTAAATGCCTCAGACAGATAGTTTAGTAACTTATGATTGTGTACAGAATTCTAGAGGTGGTTGTACTCCAACATAATCGTAAATCAGCATATTTTTTCACAGTCATTAATAATTAAGATTAGAGCTGCAAACTACCAGTCTAAATAAAACGTTCATGATTCTTTGTACTTGGTAATGAGTGCTGAGTATAATAGTGATGATGATGATGATGATACTGATAATAATAAATGGTTTGTATAGTGCTTATGCATTTCTGATCTAAGTCCTTTGAAGTTACGAACTGAAAATTAAGAAACTTTTAGGTAAACTGAAAATCGTTAACAGACAAACAGGCTTCTCTGTTTTGTAACAAGGCTCACCTGATTTTTACCTGGTCTATGGCCATGATCACAATCTATTACACTAAAATCAGACTAAATAGTAGAGAAGTTTCATAAAAACCTTGCAATTAATGTAATTTCACGAATGCACAATATTGAACCATGGATTCTGGAGTGAAGTTAATTGAAATAAATGAAAACCGGAGCCTATTGAAAGTAATATTTTCAGTTTTCCTGAAAATTTAGATTAATCAAATGAAACTGCCTCACTTGATACGTGAACTTGTTTAAATATTCACATCATAGTACTCAATCCCCTTCCGGTAATGTGGTTTCTCAGTTAAAGGTTTGAAGGTTTCTTCTCTTTTACTAAATAATATTACAGTAAGGACCCGCAAGTAAGAAACTACACTTTCCCAAGTTAATAGCCTAAACAGGTTTTTACATTAATGGTAATTATCGTAATTTAGGCTATTTAGGTTCTTAAATAGGTTCTTCTTTTCTGAAGAAAAAAAAAGCATGGCAGCTATTATTATTTTGTGACATCAGCTTATTCCTTCTATAAAATCTGCATACCAAATTAGTATTTATGTTAAAATGACTATGAGGAGAAGGACAGAAGCACTGTAGCCTGCGAAGTGAAGTCGTATTTCTGTTCGTCGCTTCTCTCCCTCCGAAGGGAAGCGACGACCGGAAATACGTCTGCGCTTCGCAGGCTAGAAGCACTGCAGCCCAAGGGGGGGGGGTACACTTGGGTATTTTTTGGATGGGTATGTGCCGCCCGGGACTCCAAATTGGCACCCAGTTCTAAAAAAAATTTCCCCTAAAATTGATACGCCGTTCTAGAAATAGGCCAATTTTTTGTACCCCGTTCTAGAATTCGCCCTAAAACTGATATCCCATTCTAGAAATGGGCCAATTTTTTATACGCCCGCCCTGCACACTAAAACACAGGGTGCAACAAGAGTACAACAGTTTACTTGTTAACTGTCCTTGAATAATTTCAAATGGCTGCTTACAAAACTGGAGCTTTCGTGCGTTCGAAATATTATACCCCGTTCTAGAAAACGCCTCTGAAATGGATACCCGGTTCTAAATCAGGAGCTTCAAAATCACGACCCCGTTAGGCGGCACATACCCGTATAGGAAATGTATGGGAGTACCCCTCCCCTCCGCCCCCCTTCCCACGGCCACTGCAGACAACATCAATTTGTACGTAATTATTTTTGTAGATTTTAGAAAATAAGCTCCTGTCTCAAACTTAAGGCTTAACAGATTATTGCATAGAGGGGGACTAACTGACAAGTTTTAGCCCAACAGGTTTTTAAATTCCAGATTTTTACCGCTCTCATCGGCGTCGTCATCATTTTCTCTCCAGAATATTATACGATGGTTTACATGAAGTACACACCAACAAAATGGCGGCGGGCGGGAATGTTGAAGTCGTTTGGAGCAATTTGGTGAAGTACCTCTCGCCCTCGGCTCCCCAAGAACTTGGTATTAAAAGTACGTACCATATAAAGTGCCTCATTTTCAGTGTTAATTGTTTGTGTGATTTCTTTCAGGGACTTGCAGGTCTTTGGAACAGTTGAGACAAAACCCACCTGTGCTCGCACTCTTGCGAGAATGGTTCTTAGGTAAGCTGGCAGCTGCAAGGGCTCGGCATTGGATTGGACTAACAAACGGATAGATCGTATAAGTATTGGGAAAGCCCACTGTATTATCCACTGGATAGAGGTTTATCTAGCTAGCGGATAGCAGACCTTCCAACCCCTAAACCATGCAAATCTGGAGTGGAGTGAAAAAAAGCCCCCCAAAACCTGGAGATTGGGACCTCAAACCTGGAGATTTATAAACTATGTGTCAAAGAAAACCAAAAAGGCAGATAATTTGTGTCATATTATGTACCCTTTCAGATATAAGTTACTCCATTTACTTTTAAATGTTGTGCAATATCGGCTGCTCTAGCCGCTGATTTTCTTTTCTTCTGAAGCTATCTTCTGTTTCACTATCCATGTCGATAAGACGTTTGACTATTCCACAGAACTTAGCCAACACATTTTTCTCAGGAGTGAGGTTAGAATTGGATCCAGTTTACCTCCGCCCTAAATTCAAAAAGTCATACAATTCGTCCATTATGAAGACAATTTTTTTGGAAATTACTCAATTCCCACTGAAATTGTCTGACAATTTCAGGATTTTCGGATTTGCTGGGACATTTGGAGGCTAAATCGGGAGACCGTGAGTTGATAGCCCAAACTATGAGTCTCTTACCCTGCAAGCAGAGGCCCTTCGATCTTCCTAGATAAGTTGGGAAGAGGAAGGCACTCTTCCCGACTTATCTAGGAACATTGGAGGGCCTCTGCTCACAGGGTATGAGTCTCTTGGTCAGACCGTAAGAGTTGGAAGGTCTGGGATAGTGTTATCCAACCGTTGAACAACTGGGGCATGGCCCTGGTTGTTTGGATGTTTGATATCACTATCCACAGGGTAAATCTCTATCCAGTGGATAGCGTAATTATTGGTTTCCCTATACAGCTGGATACTGATTTATCCAGTGGTTAGCCAGCCTGCAAAGAAAGTAGTGTCCAGTAGTCTGGGGCTAGTGGATTTTGCTATTGGGCAAGTGAATTCTGTTTTTAACTTGCCTGATGGGCAAGTGATGATTTTTCAGGAATTTGAATGACAGAAGAACTGTGAAATCAATTTTGCCCGTCAAAAAGCTTTTTGGGCTAGTTGAAATGACATCTGGGCTAGTAAATGCAAGTTTCAGCTCGCCCAAATGGCAAGCTGTAAAAATTGATTTTCTTTGCACCCTGGGATAGCACTATCCAACATTTGAACAGCTGGTGCTAGCTGCTCTTCAATTTACCAACACTACATACATTCTTTGAATTGAAACAGATGAAATTAATCATATTTTGAACCATGGATGTTTATAAAGATATGAACATGAACATGACCTTCGCAGTAGAATGTACATTTTTTCAGGCTCTTTTTCAGCCACTTAGCTGGCTCATTCTTCTGTGAAGATCATGTTAACTTTCATACTGCATTTTTTACTGATGCAAAGCTCCTTATGCAAGCCCTTTATGGTCATTTTGCCCCCAAGTCATTTGGCCCCAGTCATTTAGCCATCTAAGTAACCTTTTACATAGCTTGAAGAAGAAGATATATCACATATTTTAATGAGTTGAAAATAAGGGTCTAAGTAACCGGGGCGAAAAGGCTTAGAGGCGAAATGACTGCTTACCCTGCAAGCATATCAAAGCTATAGTTTATTTCTTTAGGTCTTTTTTAAGTCCTTTTTAGTTATGAAATAGAAAGAACTTGAGCTCTCTGGGGCAGCTATAGCAGGGGTTAAGGGCTTCATTCGAACCCTCTAAATTAAAACAGCTGATGTCAAAAACTTGTAGAAATATAAAATAAATACAGTCAATTTTAAATGCAATAAATTCATAACCAAGTTAAGCCTCTGCTGCTCAATAAAGCCAGTCACTTCAGCAGACAATGAGCAAGCAAACAGACTACCATCTGACCATGACAACCGAAAGACTGTCAGGCTTCACCTATGATGTACATTTACTAGATAAAGCCTGTTGACTACGATCCTTTGGTTCAGCTTTTTGTGGAAAGATACCCCTGAAAAATGCTTCTTGTTGATCCTGTCTTTGATGAAACACAAAAATAATTGAAAAAAGTTAAAATGTAGTGTATTTGCATCGTTTTTACGCAGCTTTGTTATATTTTTATCCAAAAAGAATGTCACTTTCACTTTGAAAAAAAAGAAATCAAAACATGCTGACTTTGCCTCAGGATGGTGGAAATCGCATTTCCCAGGACTTGAAAGCCGCCTTTGGGGCCCCCTTTTCATCAAACCCCCTTTGCTAAAACCTGGATCTGCCCCAGAGCTCTTATGAGGTATATTTCTTCTTTTCAGAAAAATGCCAAAAAGACCTGAAAGATCAGTTTCGCCCTCAATTTTGGTCATTTTTCCAGGAAAAAGAGGTAAAATTTTCCAGTTCATCTCAGGGTGGAAAGAAAGTCAGTTTTATAGCTTGCCATGATTTGGGCAAGCTGCAGCTAACATGATTTGTTCTAGCCTAAGGGTCATTTTAATTGGCCTCCCCAAAAAATTTTTGAAGAGCAGAATTGATTACAGTTCTTCTCTAATGTGACTTTCCTAAAAACAATTATTTGCCTGTTGGGCAAGTTAAGAACAGAATTCACTAGCTGGTAGCAAAGTCCACTAGTAGTCGCAGGCTATCAGACATGATTTTCTTTGCACGCTGCATCTAATTCTGAGGTAATTAGCTTGGTTATAATCCAGGTTACAATGTTGTGAAGAATCCCAGCCCATATTTGTACAATAACTAAATAAATATGTGTGTATAATGTGTTTGGGATGGGGGATGGAGAGGAGGGGGGGGGGAGGGGGTGGTGTTAAAAGGCCAAATGAGTCTTTGTGTTTATGTTAATATTCTTGTAGGGTGCTTTCCATTCAATCATAACTTCTGGTTTGAATTTGCGGCAACCTCCGGTAGCGAATGGAACAGTGTTTTCCCAGGAAATTTCTGTACCATTTGGCCCTGTTTCCAAATCTTTAGAAGTTTAGTTTGAGTGGAAGTGCCCATAGTCATGTATGGCTCGGTATATAGGAATGTACAGTTGTTTGTGTTTTCTTTTTGAGGTAACAACTTGTTCTCCCATTTTGTCACACTATTTGCTATATATCTTTTTAAAAAGCTGAAATGTTTTTTTCGCATCTATTGAATTCCAAAAATAATGGTCCAGTTTTGTTGTTTACGACTATATTTAAGCATTGAAATAGTTCCCCTTTTGTCTATTGCATGGATGACAATGGATTGAAATTTGAAAAAGTTGGGCCAACTTGACGTTTTCTAGCTACATGTACGTATGCCTGCAAAATCACTAAAAAAGAAAGTCTTTGAGCACTAGTTCATTGCTCAGTGAAATAATGACCCAGGTGTGTGCTTTAAAATTGTATAAATGACTTTTTCACCTTTTCCATTATTCTGTAGAAAGAAGTAAAGACAGTAGACTCTTTACTCAGTGCAGTAAGTGAGCTCCACAGAAATGTGTCTGCCTACAAGCCATCTGTGGAACTCCTTCAATGTTTGACAGGATCCTTTGCCCACAGGTACATTCAGACATAAAACAATTTATTATTACTACTACTAATTATAATATTATAGTGATCAGTGCTTGACACTAATGTTTTTGGACACTAGGGATTGGTTAGTGAGTTTAATAAATCACGAGCCTAGGAGGACAAGCCACCGGTCCAAGAAAAATTGAAGTGGTTCGAACTATTACAGTGTTTGTAGCCTGTACTAGGGGTTAAGAGCTTTCATGACTCTTTATTGAGTCCAGACAGAAATGTTCTGTTCCTGTGACAAAAGCATAGTTTGCTAATCTCTCAGCACTACTGTTTGAGTCCACACAAGTTCCACAGTATGAATCGCAACCAAGGATATGTTTTCTTCCAACTTGGTTGAAAACTTCTTGACCACTTATTGCACTTCTTTTTCTCGTCATGTGGTGTATGGTCTTTTGGTAAACAATGAAATCTGCCTCAGCATCATTGGCCGTTGAAGGATGCTATCTGGAAGGTAGTTTTTTAAAAAAGCTTCTTCATTTCTGTGGTGAATGAGCACAAATAAATTCAAAGATGATGGACACTATGGTGGCTCTCACCCAGGCTAAGTAAACAGATTTAATTTTCTAGTCATGAAATATTCATAAATGGGGGTACAATTCTCACTGCTGACCCTTCACAGCTTCACGAGATTTTTGCGATAACTTATTTCCAGTGTGAACAAATGTGAAGATATTAGGTGCAATGACTAGTGCATGTCTATGTCATGACTATGGTTTTTTTCTTTCCTTTTCAGCAACCTTAATCTTCAGTTTGAAGTACTAGTGAGAGCCATTGTCTTTTGCAATGTACCTAAACAGTTTAAAGATTTAGTAAATAACTTCTACAGCCAGGCATTTCAAGCTTATCAGTCTATGAACAAAAAGGGAAATAAACCAATGGATACATCAGGTATGGTATCTGCTGTGATTGTGATGGACGTCTTTACAACATAGCGTCCATAATTGCCCTATCTGAGTCCTATTGAGTTGCTATAAAAAAGGTCTTTATATATGTGTTATCGGTCAAAATTAAATACAACCCTCAGGGTTGTCAAAAGTAGCTGGCTGCCGGCAAAAATCGCCATCTACTTGGTTAGTATTGGCTGGCTGCTCTGTGTAGCATTTCTTTACAGATGGTGTTTTTTAAATAAAATATCCCTGGACTGGCTGCTTACTTTGACAACTCGGCCGTCTATTTCAAAACTTTTGATAACCCTGACCCTGCTGATTCTCTATTTCCTTTGTTTCCTACTACCTAGCCCTAATAAACTTATTCATGGTTTTGCTCTCGAAGTGTCCAATAATCAAAGACCATGATTAAGAACTTTCTAGCACTTGGAATTGAGCCTCTAGCCACTCAAACCAAGAGCAAAAGGCAGTGAAAATGTTTCGCAAATAAGAGCCTGAGTCATTGAAAAGTCTGGCACGAAGACTGACATTCAACTGGATGGAAATGAAGACCACAAATTGATCTGTGTGAGGGAACATCCAGTAACACAATATATTTTCTATTAAACGTACTTTATGAATATTGAAGATAGGCCATTAGGTGGTGTTCTTGCTTGTTTCTCAGGTGCATCTTTAATGAGTGTTGAAGACGAAGAGGGGGCAGACGATGATGTTGAGTCACTCACTTGCACTGGTTGCACAGAAGAAAAGGACACTTGTCACTGTGCAAAAATTGTTGAGGGTTTTTCACAGCTAAATTCACAGCTCCATTCTCTTGGGCTGGTAAAAAAAGTAGCTGAACCAGCTTTCCTGTCAGTAATTCACACAGAGGTAATAATTTGTGTAGAGAGGCTTGTCTAGTTGTAAGAGTCTGCGAAAACATAATAATTTTTTGAAAGCATCATTTTGTGGACCTTTTGTTGAACCTTGAACTTCATTCTTGTTTGCCATGTTATTTTGAAAAGGGGCCTGCTAAGTGCGTCTTTCAAATAACTTAGTACTTTGTAAGAAAGGAGAGAATGTGAAATGAGATCAAGAGTCTCTTAACAATAGGCTTTCTTCCATGCACCCCTTCATTGATATTTTAATTTTTTCCAGCAGATCCTTGATTTCCATATTGTGGGAAAGGGTATTAAATGAATGCGTATACTTTAAGAATCAAAACTCATGTCTGCTCGAAGAAACTGACCTAGGCTCAATTTCCAACGTCCTTTAAAACAGTGGCTGGTAATCAATCCTAGAAATGACTGCTCACCCTGAAAATAATCTTTTGTTTTTCGTCTTACCCTCCCTACCCTCAGGAAATCTAGGTTAGTTCTTTCTGTTAATTAAAAACGTTTTGTGATTAAACCCCCTCCCCCTGAGCATTTCTAATGACTTCTGTAGGGGAGGGTTATAAATGACTCATGGGAATTATGCAGCCACTACTGAGTCAATATAGTTTCTGATCAGCTTTCAATTTTGTCTTTATAATATTACTTCTAAATCAAACATAAAGATCACAAGAACAGAGAAAATGATCACTAAAGCTAAATTGTCTTTAGTTTATTTTTAACTTTCTCCTGAATTAGTACCGTAAGAGAGAAATAGTGTAGAAGCATGTAACAAAATGGATAAGAAAGGGTATAGTCATTGAGCACCACTCCCTGAGCAGGGCTTTTGCTTAGATTTCAAGTTGCCTGTTATATGTATTAGTAGGTAGGGCACTGAACAGCTAGAAAGTTCTTTTAATGACAACTATTTTCGTTTGTTACCTACGAAAGTAGCACATGGTCATGCTTGTAGTGTCCAGGGGAAATTTCCAGCCCCTACATCTCAGTGGTAGCCCTTCCCTGGAGAAATACCAGAGAGAAACTTTGCCAATTATTAGTTAAATGTAGAATAATGTAGACTTTTTGGGAATTAAACAACATTAAATGGCTCCTGTACATGGACATTATATTTTTATCACTAGCCTAGGACCAGGCTCTGTGGTGGAGGAAAAAGTTGAAAAAAAATTGGTGAGCAAACACCACTCGCCTTGTTTTGCTCGCTGACTTCTTTTTCTGTTTCACCCCGTTTCTTGTCTTTTTCCCCCACTAGGTAGCCTTGTCCCAGACTATCTTATCATGCCGGTGAAGGTTATTTTTAATTGTTAGTGACAGTATTTATAACTATTGTGATGTTTGGCTTAGATTCAAAGGAGAATTGAAGAGAAGTGCAAAGGAGTGTTTGAATCTTCCTTTTTGACATCCTTGCTAAGTTGGATTGACACTGAGTTGTGTGGCTGGTTAATTTTGATTTTTCAATCTCCAAGTAAGTTTACTTTTTACCAGTATTCCTCTCTACTGTGCAACACAGACACTCTTCCAGTCACATCAGGAACATCATTTCATCACTTCAATCTCCATAATAATGGTTAGAGACTAATGTAAGGGATGTATTCATGATACAAAAGCAAATGCTACTAGCTAGAAAATGAAAGGGATTATTTAAATACAGCCAGGAAGTGTATTTTGTTATATTTTTTGCATTTAATATGGATATAAGCTAATGTCCAGTTGAAGTTTTTTCACTCTCTGGGAAGGACTTTTTTCACATTATCATGAACTTATGAGTGGTGTTTGACCTGTCAATACTTAGTTCAAACTTGAAACAGATCAGCTTCATGACTTCTTAATGTAAGACTCAATGTCATTGGCAAAAATAAGATTTGCTCAGTCAAAGCTTAGAATGCTCCAGGCATGAAGGCAAGGAAGAAAAGAAGGAAAACCTCTGTTGTTCAAACAAACTCTAAGGTTACCTTGCAGATTACCACAAGCCTAAGAATCGTGTTTGGCCTGTCAACACTTTATTTCAAAAAGTATGGTCACTTAATAGAGGTTCTGTTTAAAGTGATTTACTGATAGTTTTTTCAGATGGGACTCTAATAACTGGCTGCCAGATAAAGGGGTTGGTATGCATCTTGAAACTCCTTGAATTTCAGGAGTCAGATTTCAAGGCCTTGAAAGTAGTTGAAATTGGTTTTTGGTCCTTTAAATTCCTTATTTTTATACCAAAAAAAAAAAGATCTGAATTATCAATGCTTTTAAAGGTACTGAGTTTTTAAAGTAGAATGTGCAAATGCAGACAGCATAAATTGCTGACAAAATAGTTAAAACACCCATTTCCCTGCACTTTTACATTACTCTTGCATTGAACTACTTTTATATTGAATTACAGGGGCACTGCACATTGTCCATGGATGCATATCTTGCATGTGATTCTATAATTATTATTCAAACTCTCATTTGTCATGTTTCTAGATATCCCTTTAAGAAAGGCCTTGAAAGGCTTCCAAAAAGTCCTTGAAAAGTCCTTGAATTTTTGGCTTGAAAAAGTTTATTAATTCTCTAAATAGGTATAGAGGCTGGTCACGTCATAAGATGCCCCTTTTTTATGCCCAATAGTTAAAAGGAAGTCGCTTATAGTCCAGGAAAGTCCTGCATTGTAGGCCATTAATGTATTTCAGCCAGTCAATAAAAAGATATAGATTTCATTAATCTTGCATTGAAGAAATTTGAAGGAATTAAAACACATAGAGTTTAAAGCATTTTGTTTGTTTTGTTTAATGAAATGATGCAGACTCTAGAAGTACCAGTGAAGAGATGTCATTGGATGAATGGAAACCAAAACTTCAATACTTCATGTATAAGTCATTTGCTGATCTTAGGTGTGAAATATATTTCTTTGTTTCTCTATTAAATAAAACTACTAATGTTTAGGGTTGTGTTTGGGCTACAAGGTTTAGGAAATTGTTTAAAGGCTAACTAGAACACACTTTTTACAGGACAGTACAGATCAATAAAGTCATGATTTTTAATTAAAATGCCACTAGAAAAAAAGTAAACTCTCTTTGTAAAATTTTAAAAAAAAGATGTGCAACATCATACTTCTAAAGTATCAAAAATTGAAATTTTAAGTAATAGCATTGCTTGTGCCTTGTCCCCAAAATGGGATGCTCTTCTGCTCTTTCTGTATTTAGTCTTTCTGTCTATAAGTAGACTTGCTACAAGTTGACCTCTTGGCGAGTGAGCAAGCCTTTTTTGGCTGCGAAGCGGCCGACTGGCGCTGCGAGCGACGAAGTAGTAAATATAGCCATTCCAAGCAATCTATACTTCTACCCAAAATGTCCCTCGTGGTAGCTCATGATATAGACAGCAGCTTTATTTGTAATCTGAGGCCAGGGAAAAATATATTTTTTGTAATCTACAGGTCTGTGGTAATTTTCAGTGTTTTTTAATTTTCATTTTCAGGATAAGTGAATTGTTTGACATAATAATAGAATATCCAGACTCTCTTCCTGCAATTTATGATCTGAAGGTTAGCATTAAAAGACATGCTCAAGTTTTGTCTGTTTTATATTCATCTTATTTTAGCAGTTGTTGTTTATTTTGATTTTTCTCTCTTGCTCCAGGAGTCCTTAGAGGTCACTGACCAAAGGAAAGAGCTTATAGTGGATCTACGAACAGCGTATGTTTACTTTTTCATGTGGTTACGGACTCATCAGCAGCCAGCCTGGGTCTACCGCAGGGACATACATGGCATGACCACATTTGCGGGATGTTGTTGACGTTTTCCGCCAATTTTTAGCCCATGAAAGGGGGATTATTGTATATCGCTTTTGAACTTTTGTAGCAAGATCTCTCTCAAAAACACCGCATCAACAGGAATACAAAGTTTTGTACCGGCCAGCAGGGCTGTCATTAAGGGGATTTCCCCTGGCTACTCCAAGCATTACCGCCAGCTACTATGGAACCTTGATATCACAAAGGCCAAGGGACTGGCAGAATTTGTTTGCTATAACGAGGTTTCATTATATCAAGGTTCTTTTTCATATATTTTACAGTTACTGGGGCCAAGAATGTTGTAACTTATAGCGAGGAATTTGTTATGAAGAGGTTGGTTATATCAAGGTTATACTGTGGTTCCATAGGAAGTGAAAGGGAAATAGAACCGAAAGAACTTCTTAGCTGTTCAATTCCCGGTCTACTAATTGCATATACGGAGAAACTTGAAATCTTAGTGACAGCCCTGCTACCAGTAATAGCATAGTGGTCAGCAACTATGCAAATTTCTTGGAACAAAAGATAGTTTTTGCGTGAGGAAAAAAACTTGATCCTCACTAACATGGCCACCATTTCATTGTGATGGTTCCCCAAAATGGCTGCCACGAGATATATGAAAACTAATGAAGTGTAACAGCTAACTTTAGGTTTTGTGTTATGTCTATTTTTTTCAGGTTTGAGAGGCGGCTACTGCATCCTGGTGCCAACACATCTGATATTCTTACTCAGTATGTGTCTGCTATCAGAGCTCTCCATGTCTTAGATCCTGCTGGGGTTATTCTAGAGCATGTCTGCACTCCTGTTAGACAATATCTTAGGTAATAAAAGATATTTAATTATATGTATCACAGTGCTGTTGTTTATGAAACCAGTCCCTGATTTATCTTTCTTTTTTCTTCAGAACTTGTAGCTCGAATGGAGTGAAGAGTTTTATGTGTCTCTAGCACTCACACTAAAATACAATTCTCCCACTTCACAGGTGAACAAGTGCTATTCAACTTACACACCTTTTCGCATCAACACATGTTAAAGGTGTCACTGCACAGCCTTGATTCACCTCTCTTTACTTACTGCAGAAGCTATAACTAATAAGCCTAGCTTGGCAGGTCTAGAAACTACAAGCAGTAAACAAGGCTAATTACTATCGATTTTTTTTTTTTAAAAACATTTCTTTTCTTATAGAACTCGAGAGGATACTGTACGCTGCATTGTGACCAGTCTTACGGACGAAAACAGTACAGAACTGGCAGAGGTGATAGATCTGTATTAGACAGTCTGAAAATAATTTTTTGAGAAATGTACTAAGCTCACACTGAACGTAAAACCATTGAATGTGATATTCCTAGCAAAAATAAAAATGTGATTTGAAGCTTCTTAAGCCATGTCCTGCTGACCCTCTAGATGAAAGGGAAGAAGCAACCAAAAGTATTTATTGCCAACTTTATTTTTGGTCGGTGTTTATTTAGACTTCTTTTTTCCTCTGGTAAAATTATTTGAATTCAAAAGGAATTTACTTCAAAAGTGGAAAGACTTGATTGTCATAAAAATTGCAGTGTGTTTTCAATGTAGTGTGGTAATCTCTAGCCCATTTAACAAAAAGCTCCTTTTTGGGCATGCTTTAAATGTTTCCTGCACAAGTTGTACATTAAAGTCAACTTTTAATGTAGATTTTGATGACATCGCAAAGCTTGCAGTGTAGCATCAACAAGGCCTGAAGTGGGGGCCTGTTAACTCAGTGAATGCTAATTAGTAAGAGAAAGAGTTACAGGTCTGCAGCTGATCTATAAATTAATATGTAGGGTGTTTGCATTGTTAATGAGTTTAATGTACCAGAAAAATACAGTGTATCTTAATCCTTTTCTAGATGTTTGAGTTCGATTACAACAATATATTAGCCCTTTCTTTGGTTTCCATGCAATGCAATAGTCTTGCCTTCAGCAACTTTTTCTGACTTTTATTCCTGTGGGTGGGTAACACTAAAAATAAAAAATACAAGCTCTGTTAATGAACGTTTTTGTAATTTGTTATGTTAGGAGTTAATGCATCCACTAGGAGCACGGTAACTCCTCAATCCGTTAACACTGTCACTCCTACTACTACTACTGTTGACCTACGGTCGAGGTTCACTACGACTGGGTCCATGTATTTCGGTTTGAAGGGTCGTAAATTGTCATGATTTAGGTACTGTTTGCTTACACTGTCTAATAATGGACATGTTTATAACAATTCTACTACCTTTAGTGGCAAAAGTTATTCTATTCTTCTTGTTTAATTTGGATTTCATACTCCACTTAACTGTACTCAGTGGAACCTCCATTTAACAAAGTGCCATTAGCCCAAGGAACTGGGAAAATTTGTTCGATATATAGAGGGTTTGTTATATCGAAAACCTTGATTTAACAAATTTTGGGGAAAACAAGCAAAACGTTCATTACCTCAATGTATAGTTAATGATTAGCATTTCCAGATCTGAACAATTTCTGTGATAAACATTTGTATACAAAGCTATTGTCTCAGCTCAGAGCTGTACATAGCTACGGCACTAGAGGTATGGCAATTCCTTGTATCATTTTCAAAAGGAAGCTCTTGACCAAAGATCTTACCTTAGCCAAGTATAAGCTAGAACATCTAAGAATTAGTTGTGCAAGAGTGTGCTGGTTTTGGTTTATGTGGGAGGTGCATCATTGTTTATGACATGTTAATTAAGATGCACCTTAACTCCTGGACGCTTTCAAATACAAGTTTGTTGACTTTCTAATTTCTTAGAGAAAATACCAAGTAAAAGGAAAACACCAGACATAATAAGGTGAGCATTATTTGACTTTTGGTAATCTCATTAAAAATATTTTTGCTGAAAATGATTAAGCAAATTTAATATCCATTACATGAGCAGACTTACCTGACCTATACCAAAGGGTATAGGGTTCAGAGCCAGTATTCACAAGTTTCTTTAAAATCAGTGAGACATTAAGTGGTCAAACAACAATCAAAGCAGCTTCAAGCAAAAATGTTTTGTCACGGGTTGTGTGCTAGCCTGATCCCTAAGGTTGGCTCAAATGGGCAGGCCAAATTCAAAGACACTTGACTGAAGATTAACTAACTTATTTTTTTGCTTATTGAACCATGATCATACATGTATGTCTGTGGGTTTGAATCATAATTTTTTTCAGCATGCTTGTGAACGTGTATGGCAGTAAAGACTTGTTTGTTTCTGAATATCGCACTCTTTTGGCGGATCGCATACTTTCTTCATTCAATTATGACACAGAGAAAGAGGTAATTACATGCACTTTTGTGTTTGTTTATTAATTTATAAAGTTATTCTCTCTGTGAGGAATAACCTCTACAGATTTTCATAAATTCAAGTTTCCACAATTTTTCTCAAAAGCTTTGTGCATTCTGAGCCCCTACATTTTCAAGTTTGCCTCATCTGCTTTAAAAGTCTGGCTATGGAAATTTTTGGATTTTGAACTTACTTAAAATTGACGTGTAGTGTCAGCAACAATCTAGAGTCAAAGTGTTCTTACAAAATTTAACTTAACCTTGTACATGTGGAGAATTTGATTTATATTGTTGTATATGTGGAGAATTTGATTTATATTGTTTTCAAGAACTGAAATTTTTTTTGTTTATTTGTTTGCATTTTTCACACATCATTAAATTTTTTATTTTTCCACTTCAGCTTCGTTATCTTGAGCTTTTAAAGCTTCGTTTTGGAGAATCTCATTTGCACTTCTGTGAGATAATGCTGAAGGACGTGGCTGACTCCAGGCGAATCAATTCTCACATAGAGGCATCAGCAGCAAAGAATGAAAATACCAAGGTACAGTATACAGGATGAAACTCCATTAGCACGCATTGCCTTATTTGTTTGAATCATTCATGACTATATTTTTTTTCGCATTTTCTTCTCTTACAGCAGTCCGATTCTATTCCACTGACAGCTTTGGTTTTGTCTGCAGTATTTTGGCCTGCATTTAGGGAAGAAAAGCTTAAAGTTGCTGAAGATGTGCAGAGGTATATAAATTTGTGTTTGTGTGCCTATTACTGAATTGAACATGAACGTTCCTGTTTTTTAATATTTTAATTGACAGCATTGCAACCAATTAAGTAACTGTTGTTAGTTAAAGTGTTTAAGTTGCTTAAGCCTTGACTAGAAATTGCAAGTTTCATCTGGTGTAAGATATGAGAGTTTGTAGCTTTGCCTGCATTTAATGGTAGTGAGCTTCATATTTCGATTATTAGTTTTTGGAAAAAAAGCCCATGATATGAGGCACTTTTTTATTGCTCATTACCTGTGCATGTAGAAATCACAAATACAGTTGTAAAATACTGTATAGCCAGAATATTTTTATTAGCTGTCGTACAAGAAGGGAATTCACTTTTTGTTTCATGAGTAACTGTGTTCATTTGGAGCTGGCATAGCTTTGAACACACTACCTGGTATTAATGTTGAATCAAGATGTTGTCAGAGTGTTAAGCATCATTCTTGATAAACCCTTGTTGTGTCATTTTTTTCTTTATTGCTACATGTAATTCATAGAGCAATGGATGAATACACTCGTGGATTTGAAGCCCTGAAGGTAATGCGTACACTTCAATGGAAGCCACACCTGGGTCTTGTTGACCTTGATGTTGAGTTAGCTGATCGCACATTATCGCTGTCTGTGAGTCCTGCTCAGGCTACTGCCATTATGCACTTTCAAGACAAAGGTATATGTCTCAAGATGCCGATCATCCTGTTATAAATGGTTGTTATTATAAACTTCATTCTAAAGCTTTTGCATATCACTTTATTTTTTCAGATCGGTGGACCCTAGAAGAGCTAAGTAGTGTAATGCATGTCCCCCCAGGGCTACTCAAAAGACGATTGGGATTTTGGATTAGTCAGGGGGTCCTCAAAGAGGAGTCTACAGATACCTTTGTTGTCGTGGAAAAGCAGAAAGGACAACAGAGGTTACCAGGTATGTTGAACTGCAGACCCTCCTCCAGCTTATTAAAGGGAAGAGGGGGTGGATCAAGGAAACTATTCTCTCTGACACTCCCCTGACACCTTACCTAGAAAGTGTAGAGAGTATTCTTCAACACTGATTATACCAAGCTCTGTTGGTTTTTGAATTTTTGGCTCTTATGTGTTTAAAGACTCCTGGATAGTTAGACTTTCAAAATGCAAGGAATAAGAAAATGATCTTCCTTTAAGCCTAGATAAGCAAATTTCAGAAATTTGTGGAATTAGCATTAATGTTGAAATAATTTAGCCAAGGGTGTTGAACTGGAAAATAAAACTAAAAAAATGGAACTTCTTGTTTCATTGCAGAAGTAATCATGGATGCTGAGGTAGAGTCTGTTATGGCTTCTTCGCAGGATCAAAGAGAAGAGGAATTGCAGGTAAAATTTTACAAACTCCTTGTCCTGTAAATTAAGCTGTGTTGACTCGTATGGACAAAATTGTTATATACACACTAATTAAGGGCTTAACAATCTCTCAGTGCCCACTCAATGAAACCCCCTCCCAGAAACATTTTCTGATTTATAACCTTTGGTATGAATGTGAGATTTATTGTAAAATACATTTTCAGTTGATAATCAAGGCAATGTAGGGGGTGATTCATGTTGGAGCTCTGATCAGCACTGGTGGTTCTTCTGAAAGCATTGCCAACAGTCCAGATCATCTGTCCACATAGAATGCGTTAATAAAAGTATGACACCTGTTACCCAGGGCTGTCAATAAGGGCTGGTAGCCGACCAAAATCGCCCGCTAGTTAGCCATCGTTAGCGGGCTACTTTCATCTCCTTCTACCATAACTGGTAACAAGCACCTTCGAATAAAATTGTAAAGCATCCATTTCCCAGTTTTGAATGACATTGAAAACATATTTAAACAGGTTTAGATCTGTGAAACGTTTGAGCCGTGCAATGTTGTGGAACTCACAGGACATTGTGACAAAACAACCTGGTGTGCACGGTGGAAAATACCTCTTGAAAATGCCTGGAAACGCCATTTCCAAGACTCTAAATTTCAAAATGTCCCCAGCTGCCTCGGTCCTCAAGAACTTGTGCCTTTTGTGCGAGGGCCAAAGCCACCTACAATTCATCATCAGCCTGCTACTTAAAAACTTTTTGACAGCCCTGCTGTTACCCCAATGCTATGGTCATGCCTCGTTATTCATGATTTGTTTCATATCTCTTGTAGGTATTTTGGTCATACATTGTTGGTATGCTTACAAATCTGGAGAGCCTGCCATTGGACAGAATACATTCCATGTTACGCATGTTTGCAATGCAAGATCCCTCCTCCAGCCAGTGCAGTGTGGATGACTTAAGACAGTTCCTTGGTCGCAAAGTTAAGGACCAGGAACTGCAGTTTGTTAATGGATTTTACAGGTTACCAAAGTCAGGCAGATAGCAATCATCATAGCTGTAAGATGGACACTGATGTTCTGTCAGTCATTCATTTCAATTATTGGTCTGGGTCAAGGCAGAATTGGTTGTCTGTTGTGAGTCTTTTAATAATTTATTACTCCTTTCAACAAAATTTATTGTTGCATACACTTTGTCTACTGTTGCCCATATTGTCAAAAGCCATCATAGTGTGGAAGCACATAGACTACTCTTGTAGTGTATGCAACTTGGTGACTTGTCAGATCAATATGTGCCTTTATAGGAAAAATACCTTTCTAAAAGGGAGACCTCTAGTTGGGTACTGGCATGTGTTTCTTGGTGTTCCTTGAATGTTTATAAGGCACAAATCTACATCTAACATCAACATCTGTTGCCATTTCCCAGGGGCTTACACCTTACAGTTTTCTTCGCATGTGATGTGCTAACAATAACTTAAAACTCAAATCATAGCATCAAAAACATGACAAACACAAGTCATTTGTGGGTTTGACTTACAATTTACCGGTATTATGTAAGTTTATCATATGCACCTTGCATGCAGCAAGTTGTACCATGTAAATCAAACATCAAGTTGTCTGAGGCAGTTTACCCTGTCATAGTACACTGTCCTTATAATAATCAGGGATACCCCAGGAATTGAAGGTAATTGTTTTTTTAATTTTTTGTGTACCAAAACAAGTACATACTTTTTCTTCAGCCTTACAATCTTCAAAAAATGATAATATTGCATAGTCAAGTAGTCAGTTCAAAATGTTTAATTATTGTAAAATTAGGATTTTTACAGCTCTCTCAAAATAATACGAAAAAGGCAATAACCCTCACACAGTTGTAAATTTCTTACCAATAATTAACAGTAGAAAAGGATGCAGTTAAATCCCTGCTTTACAGTGACGGTAACAGATTTCAAAGAGCTACAATAATAATTATTGTAGCTCTTTGAATTATTATTACTCTCTAGTTCAGTGTGCAAAGAAAGTCATGTTCGATAGCCCAGGGTTAGTGCATTTTACTATCGGGCTAGTGAATTCTGTTCTTAACTTGCCCGCCTGGCATGTGAAATTTTTTAAGGAATTCTAATCACAAAAGAACTGTTATCAACCCTGCTCATCATTGGGCTAGTTAAAATGACTTTTGGGCTAGCACATGCTAACTACAGCTTGCCTGAATGGCAAGCTGTAAAACTGACTTTCTTTGCACCCTGCTAGTTACATGGTTATTTGTCACACCTACTGCTTATTGCCTCATGATAACCTTAACCCTTTAAGCACCAATATTCATGCCACCTGCAAGTTCTCCAGACTGGTCTCCATACAATTCCTTTAAGAATTAGTTTAGAGAATTTCTTTAAAATCACACAGAAACTTGGCATAAAAAATTTAGAATTTGCATGCTAGTTAAAATAGACCAGAGAGAGGCTGACTGTTATACTAGGGGTATAGAATCGTAATTTCAAGACGGCAAGACCCTGGTTTCAAAATTCGAGACCAAGACTTAAAAAAAAAAAAAAAAATTCTCATTCAGACGAAATGGAAAGAAAAAACAAAATGTGAGACTCATTGGCAAAAATAATTCGACACCGAGACCCATCAAAAACGATTTTGAGATCGGGGCAAAATTTTCCGAGACTTGCGTTTTTCAAGGTACCATTCTACACCCCTTATATTTCATCATGATAGGTGTCCCTTGCAGTGTATGCATGAGGGTTTAACTGCATCTGCTGAATTTCCTGAAACCCTGGATATTTTCTGTCCAACGCTATCCTGTATCATCTCTGACAAGATAGTTATATCAATGCAAATAAATTTATATGTATTTATTAATCACCTTCAGTTGTTGTGAGTGAAAATATTTCAGGAATCTCCCTTTTTAATTCCTAATTCATTATCCCTCAAAATCCTTAAAATAATGGTACCTCCTTCACTCAACAAATTTGCTACAAGTTGTTTGTTTATAGATCATTCACTTCCTTTAAATTGGTCAAAAGAGCCAACCATTCTTTGCAATTGGATAGGAGGTTAAAATGATTTTCAGCGTATTAAGAATTAAAGGGGCTACAACATGCTAACTCCCATATTCCTAAAAAGCTATAACTTTTCTAAGCGCAATTTTATTTCAAAAATAAATAATGGTCCAGTTTTTTTGTTGAGACTATATGTAGGCATTGAAACTGTTTCCTGTCATCTGTTGCAACAGGTGGCAAGGGTGCAAATACAGGTACTGTATGTAATTCCTGAAAAACTCACCAAAAAAGTTATTATGGTTAATGCTCCCTTACTTGTTTGATATCTTCTTTACAGCTCTACAGGAGCATTTTGTGGTATTTGCACTAAAGAAATGGCTTCAGCACAGAATTGAGTCACCTAAAACAGCAAATTATCCTTGTGAAATACATGTAGCCCCTTTAAGTGTCAGTCAAGTCATAACTTATTTTTCTGAAAATGATAACACCAGGAATATAATCTTTTAACTCCAAGAGTGAATAATGGAAATTAGAACATGGTACTATTCATTTTGTCTTTCTGTATTTTATAAAATGAAATTTAAAAATGCTGTTTTTGGCCACTTTTTGCCAGTGAGAGAGTTAAAACATAATTATTCCTGTCTGAACTCAGCAGTCTGTTGTCATAGCATTACTTAGTCTACTTAGGGAATGTACACAACAACAATAAGGATGGCAGTGCCTAAGTTAGAAAATATGTAATTAATCAGAAAAAAATCAACTCTCTGTGCATCATTTCTTTTTGGAACTTTACAGATCTTACTAGCCATCCTCTGCAGAACAATGCCATGATATTTGCTACAGCAACATTTGATGGAGGAAGTAAACATGCAAAAAAACCTTTCCTATTGTTTGGAACTTGGGTGTGCATGGTCCTTACCAATTCAACTCCAGAAGATTGTGCCAATATTTGACAAATTGAGCAAGTTGGAATAATATTTTCAAAGTTCAAAAAAATANTTTTTTGTTGAGACTATATGTAGGCATTGAAACTGTTTCCTGTCATCTGTTGCAACAGGTGGCAAGGGTGCAAATACAGGTACTGTATGTAATTCCTGAAAAACTCACCAAAAAAGTTATTATGGTTAATGCTCCCTTACTTGTTTGATATCTTCTTTACAGCTCTACAGGAGCATTTTGTGGTATTTGCACTAAAGAAATGGCTTCAGCACAGAATTGAGTCACCTAAAACAGCAAATTATCCTTGTGAAATACATGTAGCCCCTTTAAGTGTCAGTCAAGTCATAACTTATTTTTCTGAAAATGATAACACCAGGAATATAATCTTTTAACTCCAAGAGTGAATAATGGAAATTAGAACATGGTACTATTCATTTTGTCTTTCTGTATTTTATAAAATGAAATTTAAAAATGCTGTTTTTGGCCACTTTTTGCCAGTGAGAGAGTTAAAACATAATTATTCCTGTCTGAACTCAGCAGTCTGTTGTCATAGCATTACTTAGTCTACTTAGGGAATGTACACAACAACAATAAGGATGGCAGTGCCTAAGTTAGAAAATATGTAATTAATCAGAAAAAAATCAACTCTCTGTGCATCATTTCTTTTTGGAACTTTACAGATCTTACTAGCCATCCTCTGCAGAACAATGCCATGATATTTGCTACAGCAACATTTGATGGAGGAAGTAAACATGCAAAAAAACCTTTCCTATTGTTTGGAACTTGGGTGTGCATGGTCCTTACCAATTCAACTCCAGAAGATTGTGCCAATATTTGACAAATTGAGCAAGTTGGAATAATATTTTCAAAGTTCAAAAAAATAATTAAGTGAATTGTTCACTGCCATCACTGTCATAGTTGTGTACGTTCCTTGTTCTACCCAAATAACAGTCTTACAGTTATCTTGTGACCACTCAGATTAATAATCAAGATTTATTATTAAAAACAGTAAGTCAATTCCCCTAAATTGTTTTACTGTGAGTCCAACTCACAAATAGCTTTTTAAATATTGTAATTATTATTACTCATAATAGCCCTATAGACTTGGAATGTTCTTATTTGACATCAACTTCACTCATAAAAAAATTGATGGTCCTCATAAAAAGCCAGCTTGATAGGACAAAAAATATGGACAACACTTCTTTCAATGATTTAGAAACATTTTTTCTTGAGCTTTCACCACTGCCATCAGTTACTTTAGTATTGGGTTTTGTAAAACAGTGATCATGAATAGCCAAGAATATATTACAACACCACTATGTATCTATACACCAAGTCTCATCAAATTTTTCCTAATGCTTTTGAATGAAAAATTGTACACCTAAACATTTAAGTTTTATTTTACTTTAAATCTAGAAATGAATTATTTACACAAAAGATACATTTGAGCTTCTCAAGAATTTGTTAATTTGTGGAAAATCCTAATGATTTAACCAATAACTTCACAATATTTCAATTATTATATTTAGTTATTATAATAACACAAGATATATGGGTATTTGTATCAAGATATAAATTTTTATGTTAAAATCACAAGGCAGTTGTAGTGTGGTAAGCCTTTCCTGACCACCCCCACCACAGTTTACACACCAGTGCTTTCAAGAGGTAACAAAAAAGGTTGACTTGCCATCAAAAACCCTGGTTTCATGCATCATTCATAAATATTTTGAAATAATTTCAATCTTAAGTCCAACACATGACATATTTTACAAGGTTTATTCTAGAAATCAGCTAATGTGGGCCTCAATTTGAATAAAAAAATTGTAGAGGGCCCAAAGTATTTGAACAATTCTGAACTACTTCTTTTGAAATATTTCTACAATAAACCCTGTTTTAGTTTACAGCAAAGACCCGCTATTACATACACAGTCCACAAGCAGATCATCATTTCCTACTGTTGTAGCCCTTCTGTCCTTTTAGAAGAAAAGCAAGTCTGAAATGCAAGTCTCTGGCAAGTTTGAAAAAAAACTGTCAAAGCAAATCATCACCAAATTGATTGTAAAATAAAAACATGCAGAAGAGCAAGAAGGAAGACCGGAAGGAAACAAAAAACTTAAACTATTAAAGCTCAAACTTTAAAGTACTCCTTGCGAAGGGACACGATCACCGGTCAGAGATAAAAATGTCACCTTGATTCTGAAACAAATTCTCCTCACCAGTACCACAAGAAATGTATGGAGAACAGTGGAGAATTTGGATGTTGATCATCAGGAATTTATGTGTTAAAACAGTAGTGCACTTGCATAATCAGTAGAATCTGTAAAACCCTGTCCATCATCTGTGTATTTGATTTCTGGATCACTTTTGTTGTTAAAGCTGTCATGCACTTTTTCCTCACTATTGCTGACAGATTGTGTGCTTCCCTGGACTGTATAGACCAACTTCTTTTCCATATTGACCAGTGCTGCTGGTTGGTAATTCTGCAGGGTTTTTAACTGCCCATTATTGTTGTCCTCAAGCTCATCAAAAATAGCCTTGGCTGCTTCCTCTGATGGATAGTCATGTACCATGGGAGAATTCTTGAAAGAAATTTTTCCTCCTTTCACCTGAAACACATACAGTCACATAAAAAGGGATGGTCAAGAATGCAATTACTTTTGAAAGGTGATGCTTGTCTGAAACTGCCTAAAATGTCTCTCTGAAAAATTTGTCTGTACAGCACCACTCAGTCCAATCTTTACTTAATGCTGTATTTAGCTGTGCATATGTATGCATAGAGCACTTCTAGGATAAGTGAAACAACCTTCTTTGTGTATTCATTTATATAATAATTTATAGATACATATAGACAGGCCTATTAGCAGGGGGATGGATGGGCTTGTACCCAGGATTTTAGTAGTGTCTCTGCAAAGACACTAATAGTAAAAACTAGAAAATAGGATTTTTAAGAAACAATGAGCAGAGACTTCATGCTAGTTTAAAAGGCATAAAGCAGAAATGATGCCTTTTACCAGTCTAAGGTGACACTATTTCCATCAAAACACAAAAAATGACTACTGTGAGATCTTACCTTTCTTCTTGCAGTCTTTGGACTCAAACAAGACTTCAACTCAACAGGTTCTGAATCAAACACCACTTGCGGAACCCGGTATTGTGGTGCTGATCCAATATATGATATAGGTACATCCTCATCCTCATCGTCATCCTCCTCCTCCTCCTCCTCCTCATCATCATCATCATCTGAGCCCATGTTACCGTTAACTAAATGTGTGACTTCTCCAGTAGCAAAGTCATAGCTTCCTTCCACTTCGTCTGCGTCACTTTCATCTGAAAATTCATCTGCCTCAAGGTAACCTCCCTGGAAGGTATTTGGTTCATCTTCTTTGGCTACAGGTGATGGCAAATCAATCACTGAGACACTGATGTCATCGGAAACATTAACTGCCTTATCATTACTGCCATTGAGGAACTTCTCAGTATTGTGGACATCTGGAGATGATGGAACATCAATCACAGATACTATGACATCACTTTCACCAGACTCTGGAATATCTATTGCCGAAACAGGCACCTCATCAATTGATGAAACAGGAACTGCCTCATTCATGCTTTTCTCAGATTCTGGACTCTCCTGGTGTCCATTCCAGTGCTGTGTTACAACTACTGGGATCTGAGTTTCACCCTTTCTAGAACTAGCCTCTTTGGAATTAGCTGGAACCTCTGCAGGAAATTTCTTTTTCTCCTCTTGCGGAGGCTGGACACTTGACTTTGGTTTGTGGTAAACACCCTTAGGCGGTGCTTGCTCGTAACTGGCATTGCTTATTATTTTAAGTTTGCCAACAAGTGTCTGTTCAACTTTTCCAGGCTTCCGCACTGGTCGCAAATTATGAGCTGCACCAAGCACAGTATCAACACCTTCTGTGGTAGGAATAAAACCATTATTCTTTTTATTTTTGCTCTCAACACTGATGATTTTATTTTCTCCACTCTTCTCTTCTGCCCCTTCATGTTTACTGCTAGCTGTTTCCTCTTCTAATTCTCCAGCCTTTTGTACCGGACCCAGAGTAATGGATGCAGTGTCAGTAGAACTTGAACCATTGTTCTTTTGTTTCTTTCCTGGAACATCTGTTATTTTACTTCCTTCATATTGCTGTTCACTTTTGCTAAATTTTTTTAGCCAAGGAAATCGGTTAACACTAGACTGATCTTTCTCCTTCTTTTCCACTGACTTTTCCTCCCTTTTCTGTGATTTAGATAATAGATTGGACTTTTTGTTGTCTTCCTTCTTCTGTAACAATTGATTCTGGCTTGATTGTTCTGTTGCTGGAACCTTTTGACGTTTAACCTCAACACTTGGCTTGATTTTTGCCTTTTCTTCTAAGCCGTTTTTGTCTTTCTTATTTCCTTTCCAAATACTTGAACCAAACAAAGCAGACAGCTTATGCACTGAGCCTTTTGATGGTTTGCTCTCTTGAACAACATGATCACAATCATCTTTGCTTGCCTTTTCAGAAGACGGTGGGGCAAAATCAGTTGGTTTCTCAACAGCAGCAGGACCATTGAACAGCTTTTCACGGTCAGACTTTTGATCTATTTCAACTACCTGGTCAATGATAATGTTACTCTCATCTTCCAAGTTATTCTTGTCATCAGTTTCAGCCCCATCTTGATCTGACTGCTGTGACAACTGACAATGAAACAGCTCACTTACTCGTTGTTCAATGTCATGCGATATGCTACGTTTTCTTGCAAATACAGGTTGTATTTCTTGCTCTGTTGAGGATAAATCTAGCTGAGAATCTTTACTTTTAATTACTGAATCAGTAAGTGCATGATCTGTGATTTCATGTACATTTGGTGCTTCACTGGACTTGCGATCTAAATCATTCAAACCTGAGAGCTCATCATCACTAACTGAATCAGACTCATTTTCATCAGGGTCTATATTGATTTCTGATACAGAAGCCTTTCTAATTAGCTTGTGCATACGGTGTTCTATGCCTTGGGAGACATTTGGTTTATGTTGGAAATAAGCACATCCTCGTTCTTCTCTAATGTCTGTCAGGGATGAAGACCTTCCTCTATCAAGACTAGAACTTGGTGAGAAAGTCCCGTTAGAGTCACTTCTTGGTGACAAATTTGATAAATCGTTCTCGTCCAATTGGGACCCCACACTTAATACATCTGCAGTCCACCTTTTCGTGGGAGGGGGAGGTCGTTTAGCCTGACTATTGGTTGATGAAGGAATCTTTGAATCACTTTGAGGCGATATTATCAACTTATCATCATCTTCATCATCATCAATAGGTTGGGACATCAAACTTAAAACATCTGCTGACCACCTGACTGTGGATGGCTGCGTTCTTCTATTTTGGCCAGGCCTGCGTAAAACACTACCATGCTCAGTAGGCTCAGGCTGATTTACCTTTAGGGCAAGGTTCTCTTCAGAAGATGTGTGCCTGCGAAATCCAGCTGAAGGTCCAAACAGGCTCCGCAACGAAGCAGTAGTGCTTTGACTTGCATTATAATCGTCACTTGATTCATGACTGTCCTTTTGTGACTCCTGTCCATTAGGAACTTGTGAGGCATCATCTCTATTCACATCATTTAGCGATTTCTCATTTAAAGGAGCAAATTCTGGTCTGTTTCCACTAGTGATGACTACATATTTTTGACTCTCATTTCCTTTGACAGATTTGACACCTTTCTGTTTCTCTTTAACCTCAGACTGCTTGACTACTGAAAAAATCTGTACTGAGTGATCTTGTAGAGAAGGTGATTCTCTGTTCTTGTAATCTGATTGTACAAGTGTTTCTCTAACTGGCTCAGCAGTAATTTCAGGTATTTTCATGCCACTTGGATTTACATCTTCTTTTCCCTTCTGCATAACATCAGAGGTTTTAATAACGAAACTATTGTGATCAGACTTGTGAATATCTTTTGAGATGTTTTCCACTTCATTGTTTATATTACCCACCATTGTTTCCTGGACAGAGTTTTTTCCAGCAGGGAAAGAAACACTTTTCGTTGAACTATTCCTTAACCATGGGGGTGTAGATACAAAATTCTTAAATGGTTTGGGAGAAATCGAAGGCACTGTTTTGCGCACGTTCAAGCTTGTTGATTTCTCCATGTGAATTGACTGACCATTGTGTTCTGTACCTTTGTTTAAAGTCTGCAATTGTGATTCATCATTAGCAGCGAATAATTTACTTTCTGCAGTCCTTTTGTCGCTTCTCACGTCAGCTTTCATGTCATCTGTACCTTTAACGATCCGTAGATCACTGATATCGTTCTTTTCTGCTTTCGATTGTTCAAACATTCGTTTATAGCTAAGAACAGACGGCGTCTTGACAGGTTCGCTGTCAACCTTTGTTTTAAACGAATTGAGGCCGGTTGATTGAGCATATCGGCTGACAGGCGTTTTAGAATCGTCTTTCAACAAGGCACCACCTCGCTGAGTACTTTCGCGATAATCTTTGGCCTCTCGTTGAAGAGAACCATGTTTTTTTGGTTTTCGTTCCTCTTCTGTCGGAATTTCGACAACATTGGTAACACAACTATTCGTGTCCGCCGGGCTTGAATACAAAGGGCTATGATTTTGCGTCGCGTTGTCTTCGAAGACCTTTTTCTTGCTAAGTTTTCCATTGTCGGCTTTAGCATCAGGCCTTTGGCTGGCATTCACAATCGCTATGGTCTTTTCGGACGTCTTTCTTATAATTCTGGGCCCAAAAACGCTGTTGACACTTTGAGCTTGTTCTTTCGTTTCCGGCGAATCGTTAGCGCCTTCCTTCTTTTTTTCTAACAAAGATCTTTTCCACTCCGGAATGGACACTTTTCTTGATCTTTCATCTTCGAGTTTCTGTCGTTCACCTTGTTCTTTTAGCTTCTTCTTTTGTATAAGTTCTAACTTCCAAGCCGGTAGCACAGACGTCATGTTGTATCCACCTGTGAAGAACTGTACCACCGGAGTTGAACCATTCAACACCCAACTCTCATCATTAAACAAGTTAATAATCGTGTCTCGCCATCACTTTCTCTTCTCCACCTAGTTTTCTTTTCTTCCAGGAGGATCAAAGTGTAATTACGAACAAAAATATATTGACAATCCGGCGAGAAGAGTGGAGCCGTCGTTGAGTTGCGCTACTCTTGAAATTCTTGACATGCTCAGTCTACCGTATCACAACCTCTCAAGAATTCGCTTATAAAGTTGTGATGTCACAGCAAAAATAAATATTTGAGGGCCGACACAAGAGCAGGCTAAATCACTTGCTGATTGGTCATATCGACTATCGTGATGACATCCAGTTGTTTACCGCAGCTCTCATGAAAATTTAAAACTGTTTCGGCAAACAATAGATTATTGGATGAAAGGTGACCACAAAGGCTGTAGATTTTCATTTGCGGGTATTAGCACTGGCCTATTATTGTATTTTCGAGCATAAATTTGCCACGCACAGCTTAGCTTATTAGTTTCTGGAAGTGAATAAAACTCTTTTGATGCATAAAGTCTGTGAATAATTTGGTTTCATGCTAGAACGAACGCGTGAAATGAGCCGGTAATGATTTTTGTCCGAGTATTTTCTGAAGTTTTGGTGATTAAACTGGGCCTATATTGAGAGCTGGAGGAAAATAAACATTTTGTTCACCATCATATTCATTATAGATGTATATAAAATAAATCATATGGTGCCAGGGAACTAAATTTTTTTACAGCGTGAACCGATTTCCTGGGATTTGATTGGGGAAAATGACCGAAATGTAAATTTCTTACAAGTCGTCGTCTCGTCGCTTTTTAATTTCTAGAAGACAATGCTAATAACCTTTCTGCCGAAAGTAAATAATTTTAAGCAAATATTTTTAACGATTTGATCCTTCTCTGCACTTTCATTTCACCTTCAGATAGCTAGCCTTAAAATTTGGGCGGTATCTTCTTAGTAGAACCAAACTGATCAATTTCCGGGATGGCTTATGGGATGTAATCATATGTACAGTGGGCATTAATGAATGAAAGTTCTGTCTGATTTTTTTAAACATTATTTTGCGATTGTAAGTCTGTGTACCGTCCGTTTTGGGATAGCAGCTGGTCCCTGTAGTAATCCGTTGATCTCAATAATCTTATATTTGTATTATTTTTCATTACAGTCTACATGTTAATTCTGTTGTCTGGTCTCTGATGCCTGAAAAAAGTCCTTCAGTGATCTTCAGTATGTTTAACAAAGCCTGTTGCCTTATATGGAATTTCCATATACCAGGAGACTCTTGCCAATAAAATACGGTTAAACGAAAAAAGAGCCAGGATCTCTGTCTCTTCGATTTTGTTTGAGAAGAGGGTGCGGCTATACACAGGCTAAAAAAGGAAACAACTCTCAACAACAAATTATTTTATGCAATGGTTCTCTTGTATAAGCTTGTGCGTCACTGCCAGCTGACTTGACACGTGTGCAAGGAACAATTCCAATATTTGAGGTTAAAAAAATAGTATTCATGCAAGGTGTCTGTGATATAGGGCTGATACAGTTAAAAAGTACTTTGCCTTTTTGACGTGAAATTCTCTTGAGCTGAAGGTGACTTTTTCAAAATCCCATACATTTTGTTCGAGTATATCGAGCACTCATTCTTTTCATTTCCTTGGCAGATCGTCAGTAGGGCTCTGATTATTCAAATTGGCTTTGAAGTACTTTGTTTAGTTTTTGGACATTTTTCTCTCGCTCGTGAAGATTGCTAACCTGAGTATTGACCTTCACTATTAAACGTTTTGGGGAGAGGAGATTTGAGGACTCTTTTTTCCTTTCTCTCTTCAGAAAAGCCTGTGTCAAGCTCCCCTAGGACTTTTCGCGTGGTTCGTCAGGTGCGTGGACCAATCTCCTCTTAGGAAACCTCAAAAAAAGTCAGCTCTCATTCTACTATCTCTGTAGCGTGAGTTCACAGACACTCGATTTCCATACACAGAAAGTCTACAACTACATTCAAGGTTTCAAGTGCCAGGTCCGGTTGCAATGGAGACTGATCTCAAGCGGTCTCGAAAAAGAAAGTCACCTATTTTTCAATGACAATATAAAAATATATATATTTAAATAAAGGCCAGACGATTTTCATTAAAACGGCATTTCTAGTTTAAGAAAACTATATATAGGAATGTTTTCGGTCATGGAGGGTTTGGTATAAAATCATACCATTTTAAAAGTCGGGTGAGGATTTTGTCTTGAGTACCCTCCAAAATCGACAGAAGATCTCTTGAATTCTTATCTCATTAGTAGTCAATGACCAGAACAACGGAAACAATTAATGCATAATGAAAGTACTGAAGCATTAACAGTTTGAGAACACTCTAAACCAAACAACGCATTCTTATGATTCTAGCCGGGATGCCAGGCTTTAAAAGGAACGACACACAAATTCACCCATTACTTTACTGACATGATCTGGGTACGTTATCGTGGCGACTGGGTTTAGTCTTATTTATTTGCTCTGGGCGGGGGCAAAGAATTCAAAACGTTTCGTTTGATCTCAGCTAACTACTAACTTGGTTCACACCATACACCACAAAAAGGCAACACTGTTTTACGTAACGTCGAAGAATCTGGAATGAAAACAAGTCCAAATATCGGTGAATTATTTATCAAGTGCCCCTTTAAATCAATTGAGCTTGGTGATAAATACTGACCACTCTTCCTCCCTGCCATCCTGTTCTCGCAAAAACGCTAACAGGATGACGTGCGATCTAGTTGATGTTTATTGATACATACTGTACGCCTACCACACAGCTTTTTCAAGAAGAATTTTGTAAATTTCTTTGTCGCCTGTTAACTTGCCGTGATCATCTAAATTCACTGCTCATATCAGCTGAGCTGTTTTACAGAGCTTGTCAGCGTTTTCCAGACAGGTAATCAACATCACGGCAATTGGCACATCATTTACCAAATGGATACAGAGGAAGGAAAAAAAGGCACATGAATTGGTATCTGCTTAGTTCCTTCATCACGAAATTTTTACACAAGTCATATTGGGGAGGAAAGGTCGAAGAACGAAGTTTCTCTTAGTCTTAGCTTTATGGTTCTCTCTAAAATCAACTGATAGTTTAAAAATAAATATTTTTGAATGTTCGTGTTTCATGGCCCGTTCAGTGCAGATACATTGGTACGTGAAGATATTTTTAACAATATAATTGACTTTCTCATAGACGTCACATACACCAATTAAACTGGTCAGTTCTTAAGGGAACGGAAATTTCTTTATTTCCTTTTTGGGGCATACAAGAAAAAGGTTGAGTATTAGCATGCATAATACAAATTAATATTAATCTTTTTATAGCATCAAATATATTACTTATATTTCTCGTCGACAAACTAAACATCTTCCTGATCCGGTTTTACTATGACTATAAGTGTACTTTTTATATAATGACAAAGACAAAATCTTCACTTATTATGTCACCAATTGTAAGTCCCCACCTAATTTACCTTGAGGTAGGGCTCAGTGATGGTCATGTGGTGGTTGTTAAGAAAATTTTCGGTCCTCCGTTTGGACTACGAATAACTGGAAGGGGGTTCGGGATTCTCTCCTAGCTCCACAACACCAATGACAGACATGTACTGAGCCACTAGGTGGCGAGATAAATTCAATGAAGACATTAACCTCCTTAATACAGACACAATAGGGAGTTTAAGCAACGACGACGGCGACGGCAACGAGAACGGCAAAAAAGCAAGAAATTCAGAAAAACAAAACAACAAATTTGCACGTGCATCACGCTCTTTTGTACATTTCTTTGCCGTCGCTGCATGACTACAACGTGAAAGTGCCTAACGACTTTCTTTTTGTGTCCTGAACTTCGATGCAGTCCTTTAAAATACAACGCCAAAAAGGTTTTCCAACATTTAAACGAGATGGAATAAGTGCGATGAAGTTTGAGGCAGCGTTTTTGTAGCTGTCGCCGGCGTCGTTGTTTAAGCTTCCTATTAGCTAGCCTGGGACCAGGCTTCGCATTGGGGGAAAAAGGAGAAAAAAATCGGCGAGGGCGAACGGTCAAAGCTGTAATGCAGACTCTCGGATTTGCGCTAATAGGTAGCCTGGGACCAGGCTCCGCAGTGGGGGAAAAAGGCAAAAAACGGCGTCAAATAAGAAAAATATCGGCGAGTGAAGACTACCTCGTCTCTCCGCCTGGATATCTGGCATTATAAATTACAACTTTGTGCGGGGGTGCGGTGCTGCTGACACCCATTTAGCCTAATTGATAGAGCGCTGGTTTGTTGATGTACATCGTCAGTTCAAACTCCGTCCTTACCACCAACCAGGCCTTAAATACCGCGCTAGGCGGAAGGAAATTTGTACCGTTAATTCATATTCGGTGATCTGAAGTTGCCTGCGGGCAGGCTCACTTGTGCGAATTCAGGGGAAATTTTTCCTCACTGGATGGAGGCAGTGAGCCTGCTTGCAGGCTAGATATGAAAGGCTTCGGTGGTTTGGAAGTTTTTTGACGTGCACAGGGCGTGCAAATAAATAAATAAATAAATAAATAAAAGCAACCGAACCTGTTGCGCATGTACTGGTCTTTCCAAAGGTGGAAAACGTTAATCACGGTGCAAACATTCGAATCCGTTGTTGTCCAATAATACAATTAAAAATGGCTGTCTAAGGAGTTTTTGGTTTTTTGCTGAGATCTGGATCATGATTTGCTTTCGTCGTAGACTGCAAGAAATTAGGCCTGGAAACAACACCAACTTTGGCGTCAAGTTCTCTCTTCTTCCTCATAAGCGGTAACAAAGATAAATGGAAGAGATAAAATTTTTCTTGTCTCTACCAGAGAGACTAGGTTTTCTTGGGCTTCAAGCGATAAAAACGCTTCGAGTGAAGCTTAGGGAGAACCGCCTGCCTTTACACAGACAATCAGGGGCCATACCTCCTGGCAAATTACGGACTGACAGCTTGTTAGAGTACCGCAACCAGTCCGTTATTCTGATATCTCAAGCTATCCAATTTCACCCTCCTCTTGATCAGTGTTACAGTATGTATCGTTATTCTTACGACTTGTTTCATAACTCTCTCTGTCTTTATCCCGATGACTATGTCTATCTTTGCTACGGTATCCTTCGCTGTCCCTATGACGCCCACGATCCTTGTAACGTTCTCCACCACGGTCACGTGATCTTTCACTATCACGCGACCTTTCGATGTCGCGTGATCTCTCACTATCACGCGTCCTATCACTGTCACGTTCACGATATCTTTGCCAATCACGAGCTACATCAGAATCGTCATCGCGGTCCCGATAATGAGAACTACTTCGCGAACTGTCTCTGTCACGTTTTTCACGGTATCCATCACGTTCACGCTCAGCGCGAGAGCTTTCCCATCGTCGTTCACGATAACTATCACGGTAATCTTCACGCGCAGAACGAGCACCTTCGTGATCACGTGATCCACGCAAGTATTTATGTTGCTTTCCATCCTGGTCAGTTGGTCTAATGAGAAAATGGGACAGATCGCGTGGTAAGTTACGTGATCGTAACTAAAGGGGGTTTGAAAGAGAACGATGGGGAGGGGAGGGGCGGGTTCAGTGGGTAACCAAAGCAATTTAACCCGTAAACGATGTCATGTTTATATAACATAGTTGGTAACTATGGTTATAATTAGAGACGGATTGTTGCTGAAAGTACATGAAAGTGCAACAAAGACGTTTGAAAATATTTTTGTTACAGTTTTTAACCACTGGGCAGATCTAATCATTAATATTTGCTATTGATTGTGATGATGACTTCTGCACAGGCTGGCAAACATTCATCAATACTTTTAACATTACTCAGGAATTCAGTCACTAAGATGACAACACTCAAAAATACCATGAGTTAAGTATGTAACCAGAGGACTTTCCGGCTAGAGAAGGAGGTTTGGACTCAACAGGACTGAGAAAGAAGGGAGGTTTTGGTGGCGGATGTTTTTGTTAACAGAAATTCCAACCTGCACACAGGATTGATGACAAGAGCAATGCTACAAATCAGCCTGATAGGCCACTTGCACTAAGAGGTCACATGATCAATGCTTCATTTAAACAATGAGTTGGAATCTTGCTGATGCCAAAAAATTGACGGAGCATATGAAAATTATCTTACAACCGAAATTTGAGAGGAAATGCATTTAAGGGAGATATTTTATGGCACTTTGATTTTTCAACAAAGTAGTATGATTTGTATTGGCCACCATGTTAAAGGGTACACTGTCGCCCTCCATCATGGCGGCCATAACTACTTTTTGCTTGTATCTTGTTAAACGTTTGATAGTTACGCTCAGATGTACTGAAAACGTTACCACATCATCTTTTCAACAATTTCCTTAAAGTTTAAGTGCAAAATTTCTTTTCAGAAAGAGGTAATTCATAGTTTTAAAAACCACATTCTGGTCACGTGACCAGCTATGCACTTACTCATTTTAAGAAAATGGTGCTTGTTTGAAAAACTAAATAACTATTATTTTGTTTAAGATATGACCCACTCATGGTTTTTTTGAAAGCAAAATCATATAACTTTCATTTTCATAAAAATGATGTCACATGACCCCTTAGTTCAAATGGCCCATTATGGCGGAGGTCGGCGGACTCTATATTACCAACATGATTGCTATGCTAAGAGAGGGAACGTTTTATCAGGACACCAAAAATAGCCACTAGTGTAGCTACAATGAAAGTTTTTCACCCTCAAAATAGTAAATCCCTTTACCGCTCAAACCTCAGAAACCTGTGCACCTTTTTATAGAGAGAATAATGTTATTAATCAAAGAATATTTGCAAGATGATAAGCATCTTTATGGGTCATTTATATGAAGATGTTATTGATTATTTGAATACACTATTGACCCATTGCAGAGCAACTTGCTGTAAAAGACTTACTACTGATTTAGGCATGCTCAACTGTAACCACAAAGTACACAAGTACGACAAAGCAGTTGAGTAGTTTTTTCCCAGTTAAAGGTGTTTCAAAAATTCACATGAAACAATTTTTTTGGAATTTTTTTACTGGCATCTAGAAGCCACATAGCAAATAAAAATGATAGACATGGAAGTGCCAAAAATTTTAAAGCATCATACGAATAACTGTCTATAATTAAACTTTAATGGCTACTTGACTGGAATGGACAAGATAAAGGCTGATGACAATGGTCATAAATAAAAGTATATATAATGGGATATGCTGTATGAGAATAATTTGACAGGTGATTTATACAATGATTATACACCGATGAACTGCCCCATGATGTTTACCTAATCGTCTTGGAATCCATCCCTTGAGAGTTCTGGCTGCTTCATACTCCACTAATACAGTACTACCATCAATCTTGTAATTATGCAGCTCCTAAAATCCATAAAAAAAAACAGAAGAACAGTACAAATTTTAACAATGATGTCTTTAAGAGAAAGTACATTTTGTTATGTATGAGAGTCAATAACTACATGAAAGATTATTTTTTTATAAATTACGAATACTATAATAATGAAGTTCACTAATTTGAACTGTGAATTTTTCAGGCTTAATGACAGATCACTGCAAGGTCTTTCTCCTGTTGAAAATGAGAAGAGCTGCCTAATAAATGACTGGAATTTCACCAAAAATCATAGGGTTCCATAGTTCAAAAAAAAAATCACACAGTCTAGAAACCACCAGGTAAAAAATATTTTTATTGAAAAACACTGTTATTTTGAAAGGCACAGTGGACGATCTACTCTAAACTGCTTACCCTCCAGGCCACATTAGCATCCCTTTCACTTCTGTACTCTACAAATGCATAGCCTTTTGAAAATCCTGTAACTGAATAAATAAGAAATCACATTCATTGTAAAAAGTGCTGACAAGTCCAATTTGTGTGCATACTGGCATATAATATTTGAATTCATTAATTTAGCTTATTCAATAACAATCAAACTGTAAAGCTGTAATAATATATTCATTTTGATAAACATTTCAAAACTTGTAAGCTTACCAACATCTCTGATAAGCCTGCACCTCACTAATTCTCCACATTTGGCAAATACTTTGTATACGGTGTCTGTTGGAGAAAATTGAAACAAAACCCAAACTGAGTACGATAAATCAATGCTCAGATTAAAAATTGTTCAGATTACAGAAAGGCTGATGATCTGCACCTCCCAGTATTAAAAATGACTTCAGGGTGACTATTAAATGCATTATCTTTTGCTACGTAAGAAATGTATGGCATATTTTCAACACAGAAAGGTGACACTGGGTACTTCCCACTTACATAGGAAATCTGAAAATTCTGGTTAGAAAATCAAATGATTTGCACCATTGTGTTTTGGGGGGCTTCCCAAAACATGGGCTGTGATTTGAGGGGATGCAATTTTTCTACTCTTTTAAGTCTGTTCAGCTGATTTGGATATACATTGTAGTGGGTCATTCTCCCACCAAGTCAAATTTTATACGGTGTGGTTTAAAGTTTATGCACAAGATTTCTACCCAGGTGGTTTGAGGGTAAATGATAAGCACTTACTTTCTTGGACATCTTGAGAGAGAGATTAGTGAGATTACAACCCTGCCTGAGACAAGAGGGGTGGTTCCATCACAAATGTTAGCCATCCAAGTCATGTGATTTAAAAAGTGAACACATGAAACTTAAAAAAACTTAATAGGAAAACTGTCATGGTTGCCTGTAAAGTGCTCATGGGGCTGTACTGGTAAGAATAAAAAGTGGATACAGAGGAAGAGACTGCTTGTAGTTAAAAGTTTAGAGTATAAAGCTCCTTGTTGAGGGGAACATTGTAAAGAAAGAGACCATGATTGGATAATGATAGAAGTTATAAATTAAAGTTGATCAAATTTCTTATCTTAACATATCATAGGCTGGGTTGTATTTGCAGGAATTAATGATACTACAGTTCCACAAATGCTATAAATTTAAATTTTTACGGCAGAAGAATTATATAATCAATGTTTGAGTTGTAATCTTACTTTCACACGTGTCCTTGCTAAGCTTTCCAACAAACAACGTTTTATCAGGATCACCAGATACTCTCTTGTTTGGTTTATCTACAAGTTACGAACACGAAATGGCAGAGTTAAGCAAACTTTCACTGAGCTTCACATAGACTGTTAAAGTGCCAGGAAAGATATTAATTAAACAATAGTAAACAAGGAAGGGGTGCATAGAAAAAACCTCGTAAGTGGCTTGTGATCTCATTTATATTCTAAAAGTTTTTAGCTAACCCATTCACTCCTGGAGATTTTGCCGAAAAACGCGTTTTGAAGCTAGTCGAGTGGTTTTCTGGTCACTGTCGTGCTATAAAGAGCTAAAACTTACCACAAACTGGTTTACAGGTCGTACACTTTGCGGCCTTCTGATCCAGATGCGAAATATCAGCTTGCGAAGTTCGGGCATGCGCAGAAAGCAAAATTTCGAGATAATTTTTGGGTTTCAAAGTGACACAGCAGTCTTGACTTTTACTTTTCGCTTTCTCTCCTCCCTTCTTTTTTCGCTTTTCTTGCCTCATTTTTTTTCTCTCTTGCTGGGCATTTAGTAGGCTTCAATTTGGTTGGAAGAGTTTTTAGGAAAGCTTTTAGGATCTTAATATTAGGAGAAAGGAAAGGTAGGTTGGTAATGGAACAAGATTTTCATGGAGATTTTCAGGTCAATGTCACGTGGTTTTTTGCTTCTTTCTCTGGTGTCCTTGACTGAATTGTGCTCATTCTGGTATGGTTTGAAAGATCTCTTCACTCTGCACAAGNGTTGGTAATGGAACAAGATTTTCATGGAGATTTTCAGGTCAATGTCACGTGGTTTTTTGCTTCTTTCTCTGGTGTCCTTGACTGAATTGTGCTCATTCTGGTATGGTTTGAAAGATCTCTTCACTCTGCACAAGGTAGCGAAGAAAATTGTCCTTGACCGTTAAAACTGATGACGTCACAAAGGGTAGAAAGGACCTGGATCCGCACGGGCGGTTACAGGCGGTTCAGGGGCGAATGGGTTAAAATGCACTTAGCTTTTCAAGCTACATATTGTCTACAGGCACTCCATTCAGATAATAATATAACTAGAAACAAAAACTCCAAATAGAACAAAAAAAAGGTTAAAAAAACCCAGCTGGCCTGGCAGAAAGCAACCAGTTAGGCGCAAACATGGAAGAGGATTTTACCTTGGGAAGAAAGAGAAACAAATCCTGTGAGCGGTTGGAGTGGGACTCGAACCCGGCACTGCTGGATTGCAAGTCCAATACACCAGTCGCTTAGCCATGCTGCCTCCCTATCTCATGCCAAGTTCTCTCTTAAGGTCACAAGCAGACATAGGGCAATTTGTTGGTGAATTTGTAAATATCAGATATCACTTGGGGATATTTTCTGGGTGTCCCGTCACAATTGTTTCAGGAACACACATACAAAGATATCAGACACATATGGTAGCAAGTTAAATTGCTTACTGTTAACTCACCTTCGGATATCAAAGATGTTCTCTCTATTAAAATGTCGCTTTCTGAAGAGACAAGTATTTTAGTTGTCTCCTAGTTAGTTATAATTACTTTCCACAACCCACCGTGTACCAAGGAACTGAAGAAGTAGGCAAGTCCACTAAATTCCTGGTGATTCTACTTTAGTCCATGAACACCACAGGAACTTTCATTTTTAGAGATGACTGCAGTTATTGAGTGTTGAACTTTTCTATTCACTCAACTCTCTACTTACATTTTGCTTCCATAGCACGAGAAACAGCTTTATCATGCGGCAATGTGTCAGTTCCATCAATGCTACCAGCTTGCAAAGGGTGGTAAAACTTTGCCAAAGGTGTCCAGTTATTCCAAGTTGGAATTTCATACCCCACATCTACTTTGGTCACCTGATCACTCACTGATTCCATTTTAAAGAGTAACCAGTACAAATTTTCTCGAGCTAGTTTGTGACACGACCTCTACTGCTGAAATTGAGTTAAATATTCACAAAACTGTTCCATATGCCAAGACCCAGGCCAAGACCCATCAATCGATCCGTCCGCCATGTTGGAAAATTATAAGCTCGTTGGAGCCCGTTGTTTTCTGGGTAGGTTCAGGCCCAGTTTGTCACGTCCATTATTGTGGCGCGGTTTGTTTTGTTACCCGCGTTTTTATACTAGGGCATTAGATTTCTTGAACAGAGGATTCGCCAGTCGAGTTCTCAAAATGCGGGAAATTTGACGTGGTATTTGGCTTAACGCCTTTCTCTTGACTTTGAAGAGGGTTTAGGACCATGTGTAGAATCTGAAGCGAGTTAAATAGCGGCGTCAAAAAGAGAAATAATGGCGAAAGATAACGAGAGTTCGTCACGTGGAGATGAAGCTCTTCGCCTTCAAGTCACTAAAAATATCCGTGCTCTTCTTATTTCTGCACCACATGGTCTTACAGTGGCATTATGGTACTCAATTCATACATTGGTCTCCTGAAAGGCCGATCTCTTCCTCCAAACCTGAGTTGTCCTGACTCTTTCTTCCCTCCAAAACCACCGCCTACAAAAAGTTAACAGAAATTCCAACCTGCACACCAATTGATGACAAGAGCAATGCTACAAATCAGCCTGATTATGGCGGAATCTATCTTACCAACATGATTGTTAGGCCAAGAGAGGGCAAGTTTTATCAGGACACCAAAAATAGCCACTAGGGTAGCTACAATTAAAGTTTTTCACCCAAAAAATAGTAAATCCCTTTACTGCTCGAACCTCAGAAATCTGTCCACCTTTTTATAGTGAGAATAATGTTATTATTGATCACAGAATATTTGGAAGATGATAAGCATTTTTATGGGTCGTTTATATGAAGATAATGTTATTCATTATTTGAATACACCATTGACCCATTGCAGAGCAACTTGCTGTAAAATACTTACTACTGACTTAGGCATGCTGTAACCACAAGGTAGAAAAGTAAGACAAAGAAGTTGAGTAGCTTTTTCCCAATTGAAAGATGTTTCAAAATTTCGGACGAAACAATTTTTTTGGAATTTTTTTTACTGGCATCTAGAAGCCACACAGCAAATGAAAATAAGAGACATGGAAGTGCCAAAACTTTTATAGCATCATACCAATAACTGTCTATGATTAAACTTTAATGGCTACTTGACTGGAATGGAAAAGGAAAAGGCTGATGACAATGGTCATAAATAAAAGTATATACAATAGGATATGCTGTATGAGAATAATCCTACAGGACCATGATTTACACAATAATTATTATACACCAATGAACTGCGCCATAATGTTTACCTAATCGTCTTGGAATCCATCCCTTGAGAGTTCTGGCTGCTTCATACTCCACCAATACAGTACTACCATCAATCTTGTGATTATGCAGCTCCTAAAATCCATAAACAAAACAGAAGAAAAGTGCAAATTTTAACAATGATGTCTTTAAGAGAAAGTACATTTTATTGTGTATGAGAGTCAATAACTACATGAAAGATTATTTTTTTATAAATTAGGAATACTATAATAATGAAGTTCACTTATTTGAACTGTGAATTTTTCAGGCTTAATGACAGATCACTGCAAGGTCTTTCTCCTGTTGAAAACGAGAAGAACTGCCTAATAAATGACTGGAATTTCTCCAAACATCATGGGGTTCCATGGTTAAAAAAAATCACACCGTCTTGAAATCTCCAGGTAAGAAAGATTTTTATTGAAAAACACTGTTATTTTGAAAGGCACAGTGGACAATCTACTCTAGACTGAGACTGCTTACCCTCCAGGCCACATTAGCACCCCTTTCACTTCTGTACTCTACAAATGCATAGCCCTTTGAAAATCCTGTAACTGAATAAAAAAGAAATCACATTCATATTGTAAAAAGTGCTGTCTGGAATTTTCATTTAGTATTTGGTTTCATGATGAAAAATTTATCAGGTCTTTCAGTCCAGAACCTGAGTCAATGACAAGACCAATTATTTGTGTGAGTACTGACATATAATATTTAAATTCATTAATTTAGCTTATTCAATAACAATCAAACTGTAAAGCTGTAATAATATATTCATTTTGATAAACATTTCAAAACTTGTAAGCTTACCAACATCTCTTATAAGCCTGCACCTCACTAATTCTCCACATTTAGCAAATACTTTGTATACAGTGTCTGTTGGAGAAAATTGAAGCAAAACCCAAACTGAGATAAATCAATGCTCGGATTAAAAATTGTTTAGATTACAGAAAGGCTGATGATCTGTTACTGTACCTCTCACTATTAAAATGACTTCAGGGTGACTATTAAAATAATGCATTATCTTTTGATAAGTAAGAAATTTATTGCATATTTTCAACACAGAAAGGTGACACTGGGTACTTCCCATTTGTACATAGGAAATCTGGAAATTCTGGTTACAAAATCAAATGCTTTGCACCATTGTGTTTGGGGCGCTTCACAAAACATGGGCTGTGATTTGAGGGGATGCAATTTTTCTACTCTTTTCAGTCCGTTCAGCTGATTTGGATATACATTGTAGCAGGTCATTCTCCTACCAGGGCAAATTTTATGCCGTGTAGTTTAAGTTTATGCACAAGATTTCTACCTGGGTGGTTTCAGTGTAAATGATAAGCACTTACTTTCTCGCACATCTTGAGAGAAAGATTAGTGAGATTACAACTCTACCTGAGGTAAGAGGGGTGGTTCCATCACAAACGTTAGCCATCTGAGTCATGTGATTTAAAAGGTGCACACATGAAACTTAAAAAAACTTAATGGGAAAACTGTCATGGTTGCCTGTAAAGTGCTCATGGGGCTGTACTGGTAAGAATAAGAAGAGGATGCAGAGGAAAAGACTGTTTAGACTGCAGAGGAAAAAGACTGCTGTAGTTAAAAGTTTAGAGCATAAAGCTCCTTGTTCTAAGGAACAATGTAAAGAAACAGACCATGAGTGGATAATGATAGAGATTATAAATTAAAGTTGGTCAAATTTCTTATCTTAACATATCATAGGCTGGGTTGTATTTGCAGGAATTAATAATACTACAGTTCCACAAATTTTATAAATTTAACTTTTTACTGCAGAAGAATTATATAATCATGTTTGAGTTGTATTCTTACTTTCACGGGTGTCCTTGCTAAGCTTTCCAACAAACAAAGTTTTATCAGGATCACCAGATACTCTCTTGTTTGGTTTATCTACAAATTATAAACAAGAAATGGCAGAGTTAAACAAACTTTCACTCAGCTTCACATAGGCTGTTGCAGATTCTCCTTCAAGTGCCAGGGAAGATATTAATTAAACAATAGTAAACAAGGAAGGGGCGCATGGAAAAAAAAACTTTGTAAGTGACTTGTGATCTCATTTATTATATTCCAAAAGTTGTTAGTGAAACTGCATCTAGTTTTTCAGGCTCCACTCAAATGATAATATACAGTGAAACCTGTATTAAGCGGACACCCTCGGGGAATGCTGAGGTGTCCACTTAATACAGGGTGTCCACTTAATACAGGTGTCAATAGATAATTTCATATGAGGTGTCAAATGCCATTCAAATGAACAGTAGAAACGTTTAGAATACTCCCAGAGAGTATGATGATATACGTTTGCATTAATTTCTTTATCAAAGTGGACCAATTGATCATAGTACCATAAACATAGATTGCAACTCAAATCTGAAGAAATCAGATGAACGAGCTCCATACAAACAAAACGAAATAGAAAACAATACTGTACTGTGAAACTAATCAAATAAGTTCATCAAGTCATGTTTTTTAACCCTTTAAGCCCCAGTATCCACATACAAATTCTCCTGACTGATCTCTATACATTTCCATAAAGAATGTGTTGAGAGAATTTGATAAAAGATCAAGGCATTTTCTCTTGGGTGATCATTTTATCAATTCTCATAACTTACCTCTTGACTATGTATGGATATTGTTAGGAAATAATTGATGTTGGTCCCTATTAAGACTTAAGGGGTTAATGTAAAAATCGAAAAACTTGTGGGTGGCAATTCGAGGCAATCTTTCGCATTTCCGGTGTCTGGCATGTTGGGTGGTGGAATTATTACAAGTGTCCGTTTAGTACAGGTTGGCAACAATAGAAATGACCATTTCAGGTACTTTTTAGATGTCTGTGTCCACTTAATAGAGGTGTCCACTTAATAAAGGTTTCATTTAAAGTAAATAAGGGAAATAAATTTGGGGACTTCAGCTACTGTCCACTTAATAGAGGGTGTTTGCTTAATATGGTGTCCGCTTAATACAAGTTTCACTGTAACTAGAAACAAAAACTCCAAATAAAACAAAAAAAAGATTAAAAAAACCCAGCTGGCAGGGCAGAAAGCAACCAGTTAGGCTCAAACATGGCAGAGGATTTGACCTTGGGATGGCTGAGAAACAAATCCTGCGAGCGGTCGGAGTGGGACTTGAACTTGGTACTGCTGGATTGCCAAGTCCAATACACCAGTCACTTAGCCACGCTGCCTCCCTATCTCATGCCAAGTTCTCTCTTAAGGTCACAAGCAACATAGGGCCATTTAAAGGAGAATCTGTAAATATCAGATATCACTTGGGGATATTTTCTGGGTGTCCCTTTACGGTTACTTCAGGAAAACAAAGATATAAGACACATATGGTAGCAAGTTATATTGCTGACTGTCAACTCACTTTCTAATACCAAAAATGTTTTCTTTATTAAAATGTCGCTTTCTGAAGGGTCAAGTATTTTAGTTGTCTCATGGTTAGTTATAATAATTCTCCACAACCCACCGTGTACCAAGGAACTAGAGAAGTCGGCAATTCAAGTCCCCTAAATTCCTGGTGATTCTGCTTAATTCCACGCACGTCAGTGGAACTTTCATTTTTAGAGATGACTGTATTTTATATTGAGTGCAACTTTTCTATTCACTCAATTCTTTACTTACATTTTGCTTCCATAGCACGAGAAACAGCTTTATCATGCGGCAATGTGTCAGTTCCATCAATGCTACCAGCTTGCAAGGGGTGGTAAAACTTTGCCAAAGGGGTCCAGTTATTCCAAGTTGGAATTTCATACCCCACATCTACTTTGGTCACCTGATCACTCACTGATTCCATTTTAAAGAGTAACCAGTACAAAATTTTCTCGAGCTAGTTTGTGACACGACATCTACTGCTAAAATTGAGTTAAATATTCACAAAACTGTTCCACATGCCAGGACCCATCCATCGAAGATCCGTCCGCCATGTTGGAAAATTATGAGCCCGTTGTTTTCTGGGTAGGTTCAAGCCCAGTTTGTCACGTCCATTATTGTGGCGCGGTTTGTTTTGTTACCCGCGTTTTTATATGAGGGCATCAGATTTCCTGAACGGAGGATTCGCCAGTTCAGTTCTCAAAATGCGGGAAATTTGACGTGCTATTTGGCTTAACGCCTTTCTCATGACTTTGAAGAGGGTTTAGGACCATGTGTAGAATCTGAAGCGAGTTAAATTGCGGCGTCAAAAAGAGAAATAATGGCGAAAGATAACGAGAGTTCGTCACGTGGAGATGAAGCTCTTCGCCTTCAAGTCACTAAAAATATCCGTGCTCTTCTTATTTCTGCACCACATGGTCTTACAGTGGCCGAAATACAAAAAGACTATAATACCTGGATGGGAAGACCGCTCCCGTTTCGTGAAATGGGCTACAAGACACCTTTAGACCTGCTCAAAGACTTGCCGAATGTCACTCGACCAACCTGGGAAAATGGCGTCTTGGTTTTGAGAGGTAGGCGGTTTATAAGCACAAGCTTAATTGTTCTCAACTGATCGTACCAGCTAGAAAGAAGATTGTTATTCTGCATGTTTCAATGAACAGTTAAAGCTGTACATACAATACGTTTCAGTTCATTGTTTTATGTTATGACAATTCAAGCCAGCTGTTTTGGAAAAATTAAGAGCTTTCATCAGGAGTGTTCATCTAAGTACCATCTGCCCTGAGCAAATATACGAAATTAAATAAAAAAGCACACAAACATCAATTGCAATATGGCAATTGTTTTTAAACCTTAGGTAAAAAGTGTTACATTTTTCGGTGTGGAGTGTGTTGAGCATTTCAGAAACAAAAGAAAAAAGAAGGAAATCTCTTTGGTACAGCTGTCTTTGCATGATGATATTCCTTTCAAAAAAGTTTGGCAATGGTCATGCTAATATTAGGTATATTGAGGATTTACATGTAAAAAGACAAAACCGCCAAGAGAAGTCGGTAGGTCAGGTTGAAAAAGGTTTCTTTGAAGGTTTGCTGGGAATAAAAAGTGCCAGGGGGGTACTCTGAATTTCAAGTGATGAGGATGATCAAAGGATTTTTTGGGGTTTGAAATTTTCAATTCTGGGACTTTTTTGGGGTGGGAAAATTTGGCAAGTAGTTTTTGGGTGGCTTGATTTAAGTAGGGATTATTTGGGGTATTTTTCATGTTATTTCAGTTAATGCTTTATGGAAATTTTTGAGGCTCAGAAATTCTGCATGGGATTTTTTGGGGGTTAGTTTTTGGTCCAGGGATTTTTTGGGGGTTTTGTTGGAACCCCTAGGGATTTTTTTTCGGTTTTTGGTTTTTGCCTCCATTCGATCATCCCCATTACTTGAATTCTGGAGTATGCCCCCCAGGTAAAAAGCCTCGAGTAACTTCTATCAAACTTGCAAGATTCTCTTTCAAATTACCTTTTATTTGCTTCTGTTCGTAAAATAGTTTGTATCTTGTCAATTTGCAGGGATCGCAGATGCTACAACAAGGCACATAGCTAGTCTAGTGGCTCGTCAAAAAAAGTCTGCTCCTAAGAGAAAAACTCGCCTTACTACATATCGCCCTGAACCAGAACCTGTAGTACCTCACTTTATAAGAACACAAATCAAAGAACTTTTAAGTGGTTATCCTTCGGGCTTGCTAGGGTCAATGTTTGCACTAGCATTTCATCGCAGGTTTGGTCAGGAACTCAGTTATGAAAAATTTAGATTTAAATCACTTGGTCATCTTCTTGAGTCAATGTCAGATATAGTGAGAATTGAGGATATGCGAGGTGGAGGATACAGAGTTTATGGGAAAACAAATGATAAAGTTAATTTAGGTATGTTAAATTCTGTAAACTTTTTTTTTGCCTTGGATAAATGCTAAGGCTATTTTCACTACTGATCAACACCTGATAGAAGTTAACCTAAAGCTAGGGTGCGACAAAAACCAGGGTTTCGTACAGAGTCTTAAATTCTTGAAAAAGTCTGGAAATTTGCCCAGCAATTTTCCAAAGCTGGAAAAAGTCTGGAAAATTGGTAACAAGTCTTGAGTTTTTTTCAAAGCTGCAACAAGTGCTTTATGAGTGAAAGTTTGTTTTTCATTTTGGTCAAATCTTATATAATCTCACAAGTACGTTTGCAGTGCATCGTGAAAAAAGCTTTGTTCCTGGGTTTTTAAGGTCTGTTTTGATAACCTATTTGACAACCTTGAGTCTGGAAAAAGAAGTTATTGTTTTGTAAAGAAGTCTGGAAGTCTTGAATTTTGGATCTGAAAATCTGTACAAACCCTGAAAGAATTAATACTGCCTGATAACCTTGGGCTTAAAGAGGAACCCCTTGGGCTATTCTCTTTTCTTTCAACAATTTGCTTGGTGGGCAATCAATAATATTAGTTTGTCACCTTTTAACCCTTTAAGTCCCAATAGTGACTAACATCAAATCCCTCCTAACGATATCCATACAATGTCAAGAGATTAGGTTATGAGAATTAGTAAAATGATCACCTAAGGGAAAATGCCTTGATCTTTTATCAAATTCTCTCAACTCATTCATGAAGGAAATGTATGGAGATCAGTTTGGAGAATTTGTATGTGGATATTGGGGCTTACAGGGTTAATAATTAGAGAAGTTCATTTATGAACCAAGATTTAGCTGCTCAGAAACCTTGGACTAGTTGATTGAGGGAACACCTTACCCTAAGTTGTTTTTCGTTTTGTTGTCTCTTCTTGAAATAAGTGAAAGTGTTTCCAACTACATGTTAATGATGCTCTTTGCACTTTCAAGATTGACCAATCTGTGTTTATCCCAGAAAATGTAGTGATAGGAATAAAGTTATTTTTTCCTTGTTTATGTGCAGGTGTTAAAACTGCTGATCCAGGTGACAGCTTGCCAACCAGATCTGAAAGCGCTCCAACATTTTCCCAAGCAACTGCTGAAAAGAGAAACTACAGACCCACGCCTAACAACAATAATAATAACAACACAATTAATAGAAGTAAACAAGAAACCATGTCTTCTATTAAAGTGAAGCTTGATAAAAGTAGTGGAATTGATGAACAGTTACAAGAGGAATGTAGACAGGTATGAGACATTGTGACAATGCCCTGTGAGGCTTTTCGGCATTAATAAAAAACAAATGTCTCTTTTTAATGATAAAATTGACCGTACTCCCGATTCATACCCGCCATCTTTGCACATGCTTTAGGATTGGTGGAATAAAAGCAATGTCATGTGGAATTTCAGGGGGCAAACA